CTAACTGAATCTGGAAATAACTTTAAGATTTTGTTTCCTCCAGTAATAACCTCCTCACCAAAGAGTGTTGCTGTCAAGCGCAGTTTAATTGGATTTTATCTGAGTGTGAAAATGAATGCAGCTAAATACGAACACACCCCAAAGGGATCTGGTAGCGCCTACGGATGGTGTGTTTATTAATCAAAAACGATCATTATTTTGAGTTTAGGCTCAGACGGCTCAGAGTTCTAACCTTTCTGCTTTCTAATTGTAAATAAAAACTTTTCCACTTCTTTCATTTCCTATGTTTGCAATTCTTCTTGCTCAGAAGTATAATAAACCCAAATGCATGAGAAATCTTCCAAACTGCATTTGGAGCTTTTTGAAATCTGTTTTGGATTAATTTAGTTTCATGACTTACTTGTCAGTGTTTATAAAAACATCTCCGGCTCTCCTCTCGACAGGAGCATCTCCCCACCTTCCTTTTTAACGGCTACGAGGATCTGGACACGTTCCAGCTGCTGGAGGAGGAGGACCTGGACGAGCTGAACATTACGGACCCCCAACACAGAGCGGTGCTGCTCACTGCCGTGGAGCTGCTGCAGGAGTATGAAGGTGGGTCTGAAACGGCGCAGACAGGCGTCCTGCAAAGACAGGAGAAAACACAATGTTGTGTAACAGTAGGAAAAATACTCAACCCACACTTGATTCATTTTCCAGCTCTCACCAAATGTCTTTGGTATCCTTCCTTCCTTTCTTTTCTTTTTTCTTCTTTCCTTCCACATTTCCTCCTGTTTTTCCTCCCATCCAGATTCCTTCTTTTCTTCCTTCATGTCTTGATATCCTTCTGTGCTTCCTTCTTTCATGTCCTTCATTCCTTCCTTCATTTTGTCATTCAGTCCGTCCTTCTTTTCTTTCTGCAATATCCTTCCTTGCTTCCTTTCTTCATGTCTCCAGTATCGTTCCTTTTTTCCTTTCTTTGATATCTTTGAATTCTTCCTTTATGTCTTAAGTTTTATTCCTTCTGTCATGTGGTAATTATAGTAAAGTTCTGTTTCTTTCAGAAAAAAATTACTGAAGCAAATAATTGAATTTGGAATTTGTGTATGTATAAAAATATTCGTACACAAAAGCAGACGCTCAGATATAAATGTGACACTAATGTGAGTGTCTGCCCCCTGCTGGTGGCTGCAGGAAGCAGTGACCCTGATCGGAGCGCCCAGTCCCAGGAGAAGCTGCTCCTGGACCGGCGCGGCGCCCTGGGCGACTCGCCGCGGGACTCTGGCTGCTACGAGAGCAACGAGAACCTGGAGAACGGTAACGACAGCCTGACCCGTGTCTGAGCCCTGTCCTCTCTCCTTCAGCCCTCCTCTTCCTCGGTCTAGAAACACTCCGGAGGCTTCTCTTCCTCCTCGACGCTCTGGCATTCCGACCCACCAGCTTCAGCTTTCACACTCTTCCCGAAAGACTTTTCATCATTTACCGCTGATGCTCTTATTGCCACGCCCTAATCCCCCAGTTTTCTGCTGCTGTGCCACTTTATCACGCAGAGCTTAACGAAAGACTCGACGGCGATGACGGATTTCTGTTTTCATGACTCTAGAAGTTCAACCTTAACCTTGAAAACCATCATGCGGTCTAAATGTGAAGCAGCTCACCGGTTCTGCTCAGCGGTCTGAGCTCTTTTCTGCTTCCGCTGCAAATAGAGACATTTCAACCACCGAGTGAGGAGAGTGTTTAATAATGAAGCTTTTGTTCTTGTTCTGTTTTACTTTCTTTTTACTCTTCTTGTAATTGCAGTACGTACTTACCGTGAGTGCTCTGACTATTTTCAGCTACGCGGCGGGTCAGAAGTTTACATACAGTCGTGGCTGACATGAATCTAGTTGTTTCAGACTTTCCTAAGTAGTTGAACTGCTCCTTTTTCAGGTTGAAATGATTAACTTACTCGAATGATTAACCACTACATGGACGAATTTTTAAAACCAGGGACGTGGGGCTGCAGCAAACAATTATTTTTGTCATTATTCTGACGATTAATCGGATAAAAATAGTTTGACACTTTGAAGATTTTTCTGATTTTTCATTAAAATAACAAAATAAATACATGTTTTATTTCCTAAAGTTGAATAACACAGCATGCTACTTCGATATGTTTGCGTTTATAGAGCAGCAGGTGTGATCAGTTCATATTTGCAACATTAATTAAAGTTGTACAGTCATTCAAATGTCATTTTAATGTAGAATAAAGAGCCTCAAATGACTGAGTTTATTGTGCCGTGACTATGTGTAAACCTCTGACCTGTACATCTTGCTTACTGTCGTTATTTGCTGGAGTTTGCTAACTGTTGAAACACAAACGCTTGTATTTATTGTAAAGGAAAAGAAAAGATGAAACGCTCTGAATGTCAGCTGTCGGCTCGGCCTCACCCACGTTCTCTTGAGATTCTGCTTTTTGTGTGTATATTTTTCTAGTTTGGTGAAATGTCATGTTGCACAATATTTTATCATGTGCCTGAAAGCTGCTTGGTGCAGTGGGATTAAAGTATTTTACTTCATAGTCTACCTGTCGAAATGTGGCATTTTTGTATAACTAACTGTAAAACGCACTAGAACGCGGAGCTGATGTGATGTTTTGGGTGAAAGTTAGACGGTTCTTGCAGAAGCAGCTCGGGTTCTAGTCATGGTTGAGCATGAGGAATAAACGGCTCCATGCTTCACCACACCGGACTTCTCGCCTTTTCTTTCACACATCGTTCATTCCAGCTCTCGCCGCTTGGCCGTCCTTTCGCAGCTCCTCAGCGCTCCAGCTGTGGCGTTCTTCTGCTTGGTCTCCCAAAAACATTCACACTTCTTGAAGTTCTTCACATTTTGTTGTGTTACGGCCACTTGTTTCTAAGTATTGTATGTGGTAGATCAACACAAAGTGAATTTTTAATAGTGTGACGTGCAGCACTTTGTAGAATCACCTCCAGCTGCAATTCCAGGTCAAATTCTGACTTGATCTTCTTTGCTAAAAACACAAACTGTCAGGTTGGATGATACGAAAGAGGAGTACGGCCACTGGAAAAAACACAATTCAGACTTTTTCTTTCTCAGAATTATGATTTTTTTTTTGTTCTTAAAATTCTGACTTCACTCAGAATTTTGTTGTTTGTCTCAGAATTCTTTTTTTTCTCTCAGAATTTCACTTTTTCTTAGAATTCAGTTTTTTTTCTCTGAATTTTGACTTTGTTTTTACAAAATTAAAACATTTTCAGAATTCTGACTTTTGATCTTGGAGGATTAAAGTCAGAAAAAAGTCCCATCCATCTTCCTATTTTTAACCAGTTTTCCTGTCTCCACAGCATGATGCTGCCGCCTCTATGTTTCAGTCTGATAAGTTGAGTGAGGTGCAGACATGCTTGTTCTTCTTTTTTTTTTTATTAGTATTATTTTTTTAGGATTATTACTTTAAAGGTGGCTGAAAACAAATCCAAGTCATGTTTTTCAGATTTTTTACTTGCAAACAAATGTTTGCTTTTCATCCACCTGGTCATTGGTCGGTTGCACAAAATCGAAGTAAAATATCTAAAAGTTGTGGCTTTAACATGACAAAATGTTGGGAAATGGTTGGAAAAGTTGCAAGAAAATGTTGGTACAAAGTGTGAAAGAACCGGATTGCACTTGCATGATCCACACTCACTGTCCTTGTTATTCCAGGACGGCTCAGAAAGTCCGCTGCATCCATCAACAGGTCTCCATCTGGATTTGAGACCAGTCACATCCCGCCCCCCGATTCCATGCAAGTCTCCCCTTCCCTGTCTCCTCTCCAAACCAAAGCTCTAGTGCCCTCCGTTCAATCGTCTATCAGACTCCAGAAGAACTGCTTTGACCTCCTGAACTCTAGAAGTCACAGCTGCACAGAGCTCAGAAAAAACCCGGCAGCCGTTCAGTTGCGGCGCAGCGTTTCCCTAAAAGCTCTTCAGAAAGATCAAGAGAGGAAACCCTCTACCCCTGAAGACTGGGAACTGACGGCCGCAAACCCCACCTGGCGCTCACAGCCCACCGTAGACCCTGTGCCTGCGCACAGAGCGTCTAACCCGGACAAACGTCATGCGTTGGCTCCTAAAGGGGAAGAAAAACCAGGAAGCAGCATTCAGTTTCACCAAGTTCCAGAGAAGTTAAGTCAGCCAGTTTCGTTCCCAGACTTCTTCCCGACAGAAACCAACTGCAGGCGCGAGCCCACCGATCAGATCTCGGCAAGTCGCTCCGTTTCTGCCGCTTCGGAGGCTCGACGCCTGAAAATGAGAAGAAATGCAAAGATTTCCACGCATTCAGTGAATTAGGAGCTTAAAGTGGGGAAAAAATGATTTCAGTTCCAATGAGTTTACCTAAAGCTGGAACCAATTTGTGCTGGAGTTGAGATTTCAGATGTGCAATAACAAAATTTTTTTTAATTTCAATTGTAATTTTTTTGGCTTTGCTGCAACTGCGTCTGGATGCGGCTTTTCTTTGACTGTTTAGAAAAATGGAATCCGTTCAGAGTCCAGCTGCAGCTCAGCAGCATTTCATCGGAGCAAAAGCTTCGATATCGCCGAAATCCATCCTGTCCGACATAAGTTTCAAACTTAGAGAATGCTTTTTGTATTCGTGTAAATATATCTTCCCAGATGAGATGAATGAAATGTTTGCAGTGCATTCAATTATTCTTATAGATCACGACTGATTTCCTGTCCGTTTCCCACAATTAGTATTTTATTGTAAATGGCATGTAGTTTACCTGTTCATTATTTTAATTCATAAAGTTTGCTTTATTAAATATGTGCTATGTAAAAGTACAAGCATGCTGCTAAGTGTTTGACATTCTGTTAAATCTCTTGAAAATGTTCAATTTTAAATATTCTTTCTATACTTTATTGCTGCAAAAATATTCTGCTTACAGCTAAATAAGCCTTTGCGAGAATTTCATAGTATAGCCATGAAAGTAAGTGTCATTCTGCTCCATCATGGTATTAATATGCAAGATTGGAACAAAAATATAAGAGTCTAAATCTTTTATTGGAAACAGAGAAGCAAAAATAATTTAACAAACAAATTATCTAACAAAGTTATCCAAGTAATTATTATTTTGATTTCCCTGTAAATTAGTACATTATCAAAAAAGTTAAACTCATAAATGGCACATATTCATTGCAGATGTTTCAAGTATTAATTTCACTTCATTTTTATATTTTTTTTATTAGAATCTTACATAAAATCACAAAAAAAAGATGTTTTAATACAATAATAATGTGACATAAAGGCCCACATAATTAAAGCGAGTGGACAGTTTGGCAAAAAGTCAGTGATAGTTTAGTGGAAGGAAAAAGTATTTCTCGGTTGTTATATTGCACAGAATGTTACACCAGTTTGCTGTTCTCCACTTTATACTTTTTTAAAAAGTTGGTTAGTGAGCTATTAACAAGAGGCGGGTGGTGCTGCTACGCTTCTTTGCAAATGGAAATATTTCTGATTTCTTTTTTTTATGTATGGGGATATTCTGTGATGATGAACATGATGCCAGGATATTCTGTCTCTAGTAAAGATGTGTTTTCGTGCCATACTAGTTTAGCCTACAGCTTAGCCTGAGGCATTTCTTTCAGGCACTGTCTGACCAGCCCCAGGGCCTCCAAAGCCGTCCCCCAGGCGATGGTGACCCCCCAGCCTCCGTGGCCGTAGTTGTGAACGACCGGCACGCCGCGGCCCTGCAGGAGCACCCTCTCTCTCTCCACCCTGGGGTTCCTCCTGCTCGGCCTCAACCCGACCCACTCGCCCAGAACCTTCGCTTTCTTCAGGGACGGCTCCAGCCTGCCGCAGCGCTCCAGGATGCTGGAGGTGTCTCCGTCGTCCACATGGAGGCGCCAGTCTCCCTCCTGCCTCGTCCCGCCTATGGTGACGCTGTGGACGCCGGGGTAGATGTAGGTCTTCCCGTCCCCGTCCCTGATGAAGTGCGTCAACCAGGGGGCCTCCACCTTGAGGACCTGGCCCCGGACTGGGAACACCCCGGCGTCTCCCACCAGCGCTTTGGAGTCGAGACCGGAGCAGTTGACGATGAGGTCAAAACCGTCGCCCAACTCCTGGAGACTGCTGACTCTCCTCTGCTCCACCCGGCCTCCTGCTTTTCTAAACCTGTAGGAAAAACAAACAACATTTCATGAAGCTCACGTTATAGCAAGTCTGTAACATTTTAAAGTTGACCCAATCCTGGAACACTTTACCATAGATCTATAGAGAAAATGTTTGCTCCTTTATTTATTTGCACAGAGTAAATTTTAGATGATGAGATTTCAGTCTGATTAGTTCTACCTCTTTAAATCTCCTTTCAGATTGAGCCGTTTTAGAGCGTCCTGTCACTTTAAATACAAATATTCTGCTGCTGGCCACGCCCCCCAACTCAACATTTACATTCGCACATGAAAATGGCCGCAACAGATGTGCAATTAACTACATCAGTAGTAACGTTTCAGATAACAATATAGCAAAACATAGACAAAGCAAACATTATGGGATGGGAGTGAGGAATGTTATTCACTCTGATGGAGGTTCTGGATTGGAAGTGTTCAGTATTGATATGAGCTGAGCCCCAAACCGTACATCTTTGAAAAGCAAAAGTGGCGCCTCCAACCAGAATGCAGCAAGTGGTGTCTAGATGGCAAGTCAACAACAAAACACTTGTTTTTTCCTGCAGCCATTGTACATTGCATACAGCAGTAAAACTAGCTGACCAAACATGCGGGAGCTCAGCTTGGGTTTGTTCCACTTGGAAGGTTTTTGAAACGGCCCATTTTCCAGACACCAAAAAACAACAGTTCTGCTTTTTTGAGCACTTGTGCTGTTTTTAGAAGCAGTAGAAACCTAAATATATCTACAATAATGTGTGAAAAATGTGGATTTAAAGGCGCTCTTTAAATAAAGAGGAACAAACCTTTCCTCAAGCCAAGGAAGGTAGCTGGAGCATTCACATTTTACAGTAGTGAACGCCTGTCCGAACTTGTGGTCTGGAAAACGTTCCAGTTCTCGGTCGGTCATGGCTCTGAAGCCAATCACCAAGTCGGACCAGTATGGCTCCTGGGTGGCTGGGACCTCCTTAAAAATCTGCCAGCTGTGAAAGAAACAAAAGCAAAATGAATGAATGATTGAATAAAAACTGACTGGTGATGGTTTTTTGTTTTTTTGTTATGATAGATCTATATGGTGTTACCCAGAGCTGAGTATTACGCCGGCATCTGGAGAGTCCTGAGATTGCGCAATAGCCAGCAGGTGATCAAAGCTGTTCTTGAACCAGCGGCGTTGTCTTTCCAGAGGGATATCTGAGAGAGAGAAAGAGAAAGAGGTGCAGTAAAATCACCTGAGTTTCAAGCTTTACACATTTCAGCACGGAACAACATCAAATTTTACCGTATGATGGCGCAAGGAAAAATATCTCAGACTTTGTTTCACAATGCGTCTTTTGGGGTTTGTTTCTTCTCTCCAGAGTAAGTTATTATTTTTTGTGAGGAAACTGGCTCATGCTAACTCAGGTTAGATGAACAGTTTGACTGGGCCAGTCTAACATGAATGTATCTGTAGCTGGTGACGGTGAACAAACACCTCACTCTTCTGCTGCCTCCAACAGCAGCCATGCCTGCTGAGGAAGAGAGTATCGTCCTTTATTAATCAGATGGTGGGGGAATTCACTTGTAACAGCAACAAAATCTAAATCTGTATCCACTGTGTGTAAAAGTACCCACCAAAATCTGATGACATTTTTTAAAAATACGTTCTATGTTCAGGTAATATGTGAGAACTGTGATTAAACTTGGGTTATATAAATGTTGCACAAAATGAACATGTTATTGCACTGAGAAATGATGACAGACATATCTGTAACCCTGACATGTTGAAAACAATCATCCACAGCATGATGCTGCCGCCACTGTGTGTTAAACACCCAAGTCAGGTGCTTGAAATTGGAATTGTTTCATTTACGGGTGGCAGAGTTATGGGGGACAGTACTGACATAAAATATATTTAATGATCACAAAACATAATTTTTCTTCCACTTTACAGTAGAAAAAACAACTTTGATTCTTTTTTTTTTCACCCCCTAAAAAGAAAAAAAAGGGGGGGTAAGTGTTGCAATGTGACGACATGCGGGAAAAGGTTGAAGTCAACTCGCACCTGGAAACGGAGCGGCGAACGCGATCCCGGCGGCTCCGTCGCTGGTGGTGTCCGGGCTGAACGTCTCCGCCAGCAGCGTGACGGAGCAGAGAGGCAGCGACTCCGCGACGCAGACGGCGGTGGAGAGCCCGACCACCCCGGCGCCCACCACGACCACCCGGGCACCCGTCATCTCTCCCTGCCGCAGGTCTGCAGAGGCGTCCCGGACTGCAGAAACGCAGACCTTTGAGTTTTCCTCTTTTTTTTACCGGCCAGAGTTAATCCTCTAATTGGAGTTGCGGTGCAACAGATCCCATTGGAGAACCAGCAAAACGTCGCTGTCAGCAACTTTTCCCGCGATAACGCATGATGATCATTGACAGCTCGGCAAACGTTACTGTCGATCTACAAACCATGCATCATTTTGTTGTCCATTCATAGCGTTAGTACGAAGCCGATCCTGAGCATGTTCAGATTAGCGCACCGCAGATCACGCGTCACATCTCGCGATGAATGAGTCCACTTGACGCTCTCAGTTCAGCGAAGGTAAGGTCCTTAAAGCTCACTAGTTTTGGGGACATTGCGGCTCGCAGAAACCTGCTGAATGAAGCTTTGCTCGCAGCCATACATTATAGAACATTAACACTCTAAATACTAAGTCGGACCGTACTGGTCCGACTTAGTATTTATAGCCCTGTTAGCCGGTTGCTAACGCATTGGTTAGCTTAATTGTTAGGCTAGCTTAATTGCTAACTCTCAAGGCTTTAATGTATCTCTTAAACATTTACACCAGTCATATGAACACTGCTAATTCAATACAAGTATTGCAGCCAAGCAATGACTTGTTTGTTGTATCAGTTCGTCTTTGTTTCACCATCTTCAGAGGAGACGGAGAGAAGTTGGTCTGAAATCAGGACAATTTCTATTTTGGATCCTGAAGGAGAACGTTTGAAGCTAGTTAAATCACCATGGCAACAGAGCGCAGGCGCAACTTCAGAGCAAGTTTTGGTCCATATTTGCTGAATCCTGTATTTGAATATTAAAATAACAGATCTGATCATCTGCATATGCGTTATGATAAATGTGGTGATCTATTTATTTATTTGTGCCTCTCAGGAAGCCTGTAGTTTGGAAAACTAGTTTGACTGGAATATGAAAACACATATTCCAATAAAACAATAAAACTGTTAAAATGAAGAAAGAAAAAGCGTGAGACTTTAACGTTGGACGTTAAGATTTATGACATTTAAAGAAAAGGGCTTCATGTGGAAACCTGGACAACATGTTGTCTCACATGAAGATAAGTTGAACTGCTAGAAAACTTCTTATAAGCTGACTTAAAATGTGAGAATATTCTAAAATTCAACATTTATATCTAAAGTGTTAGGAAAAGGACTGTTTCTTTGCTGTTGAAGAAAACAGCTGAAAATGTTTTTTACACAGGCAGCCTAAAATTATACTCAAGTAAGAATAGCACTACTATAACATATTTTACTTAAGTAAAGGTAATAAAGTAGCTATTATTCAAAGAGAAGCAATACATTATTTGGTAAAAAGGCTATTCCAGGACTGAATAACAGCAAAAACATCAATATTAAATATTTTGGTCTGTTACCAGACAGACCAAAATAAAGTTATGGGTATTTTATGGTGTTTTAAAGATAAAAATGAAAACAATTTATGCAAATAACATAATCACAAAGTAACAAAAGATAAATCAAGCAAAATATATATTTTCTTCCAAATCAGATTCTTTTAATATAAAACTTACCAAAATTTAACAAACCCTACAAGCATTTGTCTGGTGAATTTTTGGTTAAATGAAGCTTGTTCAGTAAAGTTTCTCACAGTAGGTTGTGTATCTAGAAATGTTACTCAAGTGAAAAGTACAATGTAGTAAAAATACTCCTTAAGGTACATTTTTTCCAAAAAGCTACCTAAGTAAATATAATTGAGTACATGTAGCTATTTAGCTACATGTAGCATATTGGGAAGTTTAAAAAAAAGTGTAACAAAGGAAGATGCGTGCTAGTATTTATGTTCCTAGTATCCTTTATTGTTTTACAGGATCGTTTGCTAAACGAGTTTCTTCTGAGAGAGAAGATGTCTCTGAAAGAAACGGCTCAGTCTTCCTCCATCATCCCCCTGCGTTCTGACGAACATCAGCAGAGCATTCTGAGCAAATTCGACAAGCTACGGAAAAAAGACCTGCTTTGCGACATAACTCTAGTGGTAGAGGACGTACACTTCAAGGCTCACAAGGCTCTGCTGGCGGCCAGCAGCGAATACTTCTCCCTCATGTTCACTGCAGAGCAGCCGGTCCCGCCGTCCACCTACAGGCTGGACGGCATGGCGGCGAAGACGTTCGGCGCGGTGCTGGAGTTCATCTACAGTGCCCAGGTGTGCGTGGAGGAGAGCTCCACGGTGGAGCTCCTGGCCACGGCGCAGAGGGTAAAGGTCAGCGAGCTCGTCCGCGTTCTCGTTGAGCTCACAGACTCCACAGGCATGAAGGACGAGAAGACGTCAGACAGAACCGAGGCAGCAGACCCGTCGAAACGTAAACGAGGGCGGCCGAAGAAGAGCGCACGTGGACTCCGTGACGGCTCAGATGATGTCCGGGTCGCAGAGGGTGACCCCGCCGAAGACCACAACACCGGATCTGACCAGAGGCGTCAAAGCAAACGCAAGATAAGGACACCGGTTAAATATAAGGGCTACAGGATCAGCGGTGACGGGGCAGAAAGCAAAGAGCCGGCGAGGAGGGGCTACAAGAGGAAGTACCCCAACACTGAGGCGCGATGCGACGACTGTGGGAAAGTCTTCAAGCACCATCTGTTTTTAAAGATCCACCAAAGAATTCACACCGGTCTTTACAAACACTATTCAACAAGTTTGTGACTGACAGTCCTGACGTTTGTCCCCACTGAACCTTCTCCTGTTTTTGTCCCATCCCGCTCCCCATCCAGGAGAGAAACCGTTCCACTGCTCGGTCTGCGGGAGGAGCTTTACTCAGAAGCACACCTTGCTGGCTCACCAACGCATTCACACGGGGGAGAAGCCGTTTGTTTGCGGCATCTGCTCAAAACCGCTCTCCACCAAACACTCGCTGCAGGAGCACATGAACCTCCACGAAGGTAGACAGACGCACATCGCTTTGCTCCGGCTTCATCGGGGTTCTGAGTTTCACTTCGTCATGAAAACTACCAGCCTTATGGTTTTCTGTTAACTATACTCTGAAAGTAAGGTTTTTAAAAATACAAAACTTTATAATAATTGCCTCTCGAGGTGGACATGTATCATTTATCATGATGAATTTCTTAATTTGATTTGTCAAAATAAATTCTAATTGATGATGTTTTAAAATAAAACCTTGAAACTGTCCATATTGTTGGAATTATTAGTTTTACTATTTCCTCCGCTGTTTGCATTTTGTTCCCCGTTTTAAACAATTTCCTTGTTTCCACAGGGGAGAAATCCTACAACTGCGACCAATGTGAAAAGACCTTCACTCAAAAGAAACAACTGAAAAGCCACTACAGAGTTCACACAGGTAAGAAAACCGCCGCTAAGCTTGCTCATGCTTGATGTTGTTACTTTTCACATCACCGTATATTTCTATTTTTGGTCTGAAGGCAAATCATTGCCAGAATGTGATCTGTGTCAACACAAGTTTATGGATGCGGCTCAGCTGAAGAAGCACATTAGAACTCACACAGGTGAAAAAACAAAACAAAGAACAAAACAAAAAAAAAACTCCAAACAAGTTTTCTGCCCAGAACCCAAGTGATGTTTTCACAGCGTGCGGAAATTTTGTTCTCCACAGGTGAGAAGCCTTTCACTTGTGAAATCTGTGGCAAGTGTTTCACAGCCAAGAGCACGCTGCAGACGCACATCAGGATTCACAGGTGAGGGATACAAGCTGTTACTGATTTATTGACACTTTAGATGCACAGATAGCCAACTATTACACTCTCCAGTTATATTAACACAGACTGTGACAAGTTACCCTCTACGCTCTTTTTACCCCTAGCTCTGCTAGCTCTATGGTTTAGTGTAGAAATGATGTAAAAAGGGTTTTCATATCAGGCCAGTGTTAAAAATCTGATATAAGACATGTTAGTTGTCGTTTTGTTTCTAGAACATAACAAAATTGCAGTGGTACCCTCAGTTGTAAATAGATAAATAAAAGAATAAATAATAAAAACATCTACTTCTAACGTCTCAATCAGTAAAAACTAAAACAAAACAAAAAAAATCAGTAACATTTTATTTGAAGACTGTTATGACACTGTCATAAACATGAAGGAATGTTGTCATAAAGTGTCATTCGGTGAATAAAGGACTTTTAATGCAACCTTTAATGAGACTTTGCGTTAAAAGTGTCATTATTTACCAGATCATCTTTCATGACATCAGACATAAACATTCATGAAGACTTCTTTATGTTCGTGATTTATGTCACCCCTTCAAATAAAGTGTTACTAAAAAACTTAATTAATACTTCTTATCATCACTTTTATCATAATCATTTGCTCCGGCAGTTGTATTGTGAAATATTGTGATAAAACTTTCAGCTCATATCACTTACCCCTGATATTAAACCGGCTGTAATGTTGGCATAAACAATCAATGCTTCATGTTATTGATTAAAATCTTTCTGTTACGTTCCTGTTCAGAGGTGAGAAGCCATATAAATGTAGCATCTGTGAGAAGTCATTCTCAGACCCCAGCGCGAGGCGACGCCACATCGCCTCCCACTCTGGGAAGAAACCCTTCACCTGCTCCTTCTGTGGCCTTTCCTTTACCCGGCCGGACAACCTGAAAACGCACACAAAGTCTCACAACAAGGAGAGACCGGCCGCCACGGAGACCGAAGCCTCGCCGGCCGCGCCGCCGCCGGAGGAGCCGCGCAACGTCCTCCATCTGCAGCCATACCAGCCGGCGCTCAGCTCTGACCAGGAGATCCAGCTGGTGGTGGCGGGCGGGGTGAACAACATCAACTTCGTTCCAGGTCAGGATCAGGAGATCAGCCTGGTCGCCGCCGACGGAGGAACGGCGCAGTCGGCCCACTCCAGGGTCACCCTCCTGGCCCAGCCGGCGGGGCAGATCCAGAACCTGGCGCTGGTCGCCCAGGGAGACGCTGCGGCCCACGCCCCGCAGGTTCACTCCATCGGCATGTTGGAGCGGCACCAGCCGGAGCAAATGCACGTCATCACCCTGAGTAAAGAAGCCATGGAGCAGCTGCAGGCCCAACACGGCCCACCGCATCCTCTGCAGATAGCGCGTCCCCTCCAGGTGATGCAGCAGCCGCAGCAGCTGGCCGTGGCGCAGGAGAGCTCGCAGGTTCACAGCCAGGCCATCCACATCAGCAGCCAGGTCAGCCAGCCGATCTCCATCAGCCAGACCAGCGAGCAGCTCTCCAGCCACCACATCCAGGGCCAGACGTTCCAGATCCAGGCGGGAACCGTGTCGTACCTGTACACCACCGGCCTCCCCCAGGATGGCTCAGAGGAATGCCTTCTGCAAACTAAGATGTGAAGGTGCTCACACCAAACCGATGCTGCTGTCGTGGTGGTCGCTCTGGATGGAGACGGATCAGAAAGTTGGCCAGACCGGCCAGAACAAAAACAAAATGGAGGATTTTAAGCATAAAACAAAACATTTTACCTGTTTAGCTCAATGATGAGAATAATGGGGAGACCTTCTTAAATGTTAAGATTACACTAAAAGAATGGAGACACCTAAACCTAACCAATGAGAAGATTACCACAGGGCGTCCCTGCACCCTTAAAAAGTCTTAAGTTGATGTATCTAAAATGAAGGCCTTAAAATTTTCATAAATTTATTGACAAACTTTGAACTGTGATGAAATAATTCATCGTCTTAAATTTTGTGGTGTCAGAACAATTTATCTCATATACACCATGGAGTTTATTTTTTTCTTCCAGGACTTTATTGTTACGTAAAACTGATTCTTGTAGACATTTCATTGCGTTCTGTGACTCAGGCTAGCTGCTAATATACACTTGCTAGCAACTACCTTGCTAGCTAGCTAGCTATAGTATCAGTACAGGATGCCTATTGTCAAGGGATTGCTAGGTAGCTACCGTCACAGTTCCTAGCTAGCGAGCAAGGGGTTAAGCTATCTAGGTTTTAACATCCATCGTGGGGAAATGCTGGATGATGTCCGTCTTATCCATTGACTGACTTCTGTTCCTAAACAATATTGTTTATTTGTGATTTGATTTTGTACATTTCTGTCTTGAATCAGGTCTTATATTCCATTCATAATGGTTTTAAAAGTATGAAACCTGCAGAAACCCTGACTTATTAATTTATGTAATTAATTTGATTACTTCCCCAACAGTCACATTTTGTGTTGAAAATGAATCGATCAATTTGGCTAATGATCCTAAGTATTTTCTTTTTTTTCTTTAAAGTTGTGATTATGCCGATGTTTTAAAAGTTAAAGGGCTGCATTTTGTTTCAAACTGTCAAGGGGTTGTTCTTGGTTTTATATACAGATGGTGTCATTTTCTCAGTTGTAAACATAAAACAAACAGATAAACTAAAGAATGCAATGGCAGAACTCAGAACATAAATCTTGTGTGGAAAAATGTTCATTTGTAAGAAATAATCGGATGTGATTTGAAAGACAACACAAAAGTCTTTATAGGACAATAGTGATGCCATAAATTGATAAATTTAAACACTATATTAAAAAATGTATGGAAGCAAATATGTGAAAGAAAGATATAGCTTGGAAATGAATGAAATGAAAGTAAAATCATTGTACAGTGCCTTACAAAATAATTCATGACCTTTTTATAAACACGATCACCATTGTATTTATTGGGTTTATGTGATTGACCAACTAAAAGTGGTGCATAATTGTAAAGTGAAAGAGAATTCTTTTTTTTTTTACTAATACAATTCTGAAAAGTGTGGTGTGCATTTGTATTTTTCCTGTCTGTTAAAACTTTTTAGAAGAAGCTTTTTTTCATGAGGGTATGCATATATTTTCCAGCCATTGGTTTGTGGTGAGCCCTTCAGATCGAGGGCATTTGGGTCAGGAAGCACGGAAATCATCCAAAGCCCACTTTGCCAAGTCCGTCTCTGATTGGCAAATGGAGATTTTGGAGTCTGGACTTAAATCTGATTAGGATGTTGTAGAATAACCTTACACCGGTTGTTCATGTTCAAAACCCAACCAATGTGGTTCAAATAAAATCCTTTTATAAAGAATAACAGACCACAATTTCTCCCAAATAAAGGAAAAGAGCAATTTGTATAAATGAGATCATCATTTGGAATATTTAAGTGAAACAAAAACAGACTAAATCTTTAAGGATGCACTTTGCCAAGAGTCTTTCTGTTCTGGGATGTAACCTGCCGCTTGCTGTTTCTGCTCTCCGGGTTCTTGGCGGTGCTGAAAACTCATGAAGTGTTGAGTTTGTTTAGCTGCCAACATGGAGGGTCGACTGCTGGCACCACCTAAAGGTCCTGAGCAGACCTGGGACAGAAATAGAACAGCAAGGAGGTTTACCGCAGAGCACAAATCAAAGTTTATATCCGGATGATATTGAGAACTTCATTATCTCTTCAACAGAAAAAGCTCAGAATGTTAGGGTGAAATTTTGACGTGTGCTCAATTCTGCAGCTAAAGCCTTTCCCTACACATTATGCAAATTAAGTATAACACTGATGCAAATCAGTCCCACAGCATGACGCCACCAATGTTCCTCAACCCAAGTTATGCTTATTTATTTCATTTACAGCTTAAAATGGACATATCACTTGTTAAGTTAAATAACAGTTTTGAGTATAACTCAGTAGTTGAAAGAAAAAAATCTGATATAGTCAATTCAGATGTACAATGTATCAGCATGTTGCTTTTTCTTGCTATTTTAATTTTATTTCTTCATATTTATTCCACTGTTTTTGTCCCTTACGGTGCATCACTGTTGGACTCCCGCACCCCAACCTTGTATTCTTGGATTTTAATATAGCTTTTGCCTTTTCGTATGCCACCCCCTGATTATTGGCGGCTTAAATCTGTAGCCACACCAATAAAAACCTTTTGGCAGCACCAAGGCTGATGGTGATGCAGATGGTCCACTGGGAGCAGTAAACTGAGCATAATGAGCTCTTTTCACCCACATCATGCTGATTTATTGGCGTCACCTCAGACTGAATCCTGATCGTGTCTTGATGAAAAGCATTACCCTTCCTTTCTTCTTCTTCTTCTTAACTCAATATTACAGCAGCTTTGATCAGATGTAAAACATGCACAACCTGAGCAAAGCTCAGCGTGTTTCATTTACATAAAAACACGGATGTCCTTTTCGCCTGAGCAGCCATTACATTTTAGTAGCCATAATTGAGTTCATTAGATTCATCATCCCGGTCAAGGTCATCTTTGTTGCCATGGAGACAGTCAGGCTCTGCCCCTCTTTCCAATGTTCAGGACGTCTTCCAGGAGCAGCGATGCAAACAGAGACATGTACTGAAGGCTGTGAAGGGGCAGCGCTTCAGGTAACTCCCATATTTAATTAGAAGTTGATGAAGGCGTTTTAAAAATTAAAGGATGCCGAAAAGGAATAATTGAACGTCTTCAGAATGCCATCATTGAACTACGTGGAGTTAATGTGTTAAGTTTGGGCGCAGGGCCACGCCCAAACCGCACCTCTAATTTCCCAGGCGACCTATTTATACTCTGTCCACCCACTCATCTCAGTCTGTTACGTTTTGTCAGCCCCACCCTCCCCTACCCTTTATCTCTTTCATTTTATTCTCCTTCATTCATAACCATGTTTTTCTTCTTTGTGCTGCAGGGTTTTTGGGGGGCGCTCCTATGCAGGCTTGGGGAAATAAGATTCGTTTCCTGAAGACCAAACGCCCGCACACAGCCTTCACCTCCCAAACCCTCCATCAACCTCCCCAGATAACCAAATCAAGATCATTCCTCCCTCCACCCCGCATCCCTCCACCCCGCATCCCTCCATCCTTCCTGGATCTCCATCCTTATTATGCAATTTGCTCTATACCAAAAACAAAGATGCATTTTGAGCTTTGCATTTCAAATAAGAAATAAAAGATTTCTATTTGAATCATTTCTCTCTTACGGTTGAGCTAGGCTCGCATTTCTTGCACTAAAACTGTGCATGAATCTAAAGCAGTTGCCTATTTTCAATTCAGTGTCCAAAGGGATAAGGAGCAAAAAAAAAAAGAAAAAAGAAAAAAGAACATTTATTTCTCAGAAATACAATTTAACATAAGACCAGTACAAAAGGTAAGTGTTAAATCTCAAGCGTTTCAGCTTCTGAATCAAATGACTAAACGAGAAACTTTTCAAAGATATTTTAAGTTATCAGGCCCCCTAAGAAATCATATAGTAGATGGTTGATAGTCCAACTTTGGCCCTGCCCTACTTATTCTAGCATTTTGACTTTTCTCCTCTCTAAAGAAGTTATTTGTCTTTTTTAAACACCGTCTACATGTTGTATCTACATTTGTACATTAAGGTCTGTTTGTGTTTGTTCTCTGGATCAGGGGTTCCTGTGGCCAGATTCACTATCTAGTCTGCAGCACAACCTCACATGCAAAACAGGGAAATTCTTTCTGCTCCTGCCTTCTCAGTGTAAATCCAGACTGTGAAAAACAATGCATGAGGAAAGTTTCCTGACAAAATATGTTTTTAATAAATGATTTCGGGGGCACTGTGACTCAGCAGGAGTCGTGCCGGAGCGGAACAGGAACACATTAATTTATTTCAATTCTGCATAATAAAACACCTCATAACGTGTCACAGGTTAGATGGACAAATATGGCTGATGGTACCTGATTTCTAATATGTGCCCACATTGCACTCTTGTGGCATGGCTGTTTACAAGCAGGGGGAGAAGTGGCGTCATATTACCAGGCAGATGGGTTTATTTTTAGTCAAAGGTGCACCTTGACGTCACACGTGCTCTCTGTTCTTTATTATTATTATTATTATTATTGGCACTCGCGACCCAAACCTTTCCCCCCCAATAGTAAGTTGTTCATTATTGCTACAGCGACTGGTTTCACCTGGAGAAACAACATAATCTATCAATGTGACAGCAGCTGTTCATTTGAGTTAATGCAGGGTCCAATCACAATAATAACAAAAAAAACTATTGTTCTTTTTTTACATATATTTTGGCACAGTAGGAGTGTTTTTGTAAAGTGAAAACCTAGAGTAAAAAAATAGCACAAAAAAATCTAACAAAATACATCATACTATGAATTTGTTTTTGCTTTAGTAGTTGTATTTGTAGCCAAGAAATGATTGATGTAACATAAGAGTTGCAAGACGCCAGCCCTCGAGGGCCAGGATTGCCCACCCCTGACATAGAAGCTAAAGTGAAATCAAATACACGTCCAGTACTTCCTTCAATCTGATTAATCATCTTTAATCAACTTTGGTTCTAACTTTAATTGCACAGCTACATGATTAGTCATATTTTTGAAGCATGATGGCATAAAACACAGCTACTTTCTTCTCTAAACTGCAGGAAACAAACTCACCGTTCAGCAGTGTCAGATGTCCAACACGTCCTTGCGACAGTTTGAAAGATTCAAATTTGAGAAATTGGAAACAAAAATGGAATGAGAATCGGCTTTATTCAAGTTTCTGCACACAAACAAGGAATTTGACCTTAGGGACACTTTGCTTGACATTTTAAATATAGATGAATGAAAAGCAAGAATAAAAAACAAATGATTTTTAAAAAATATGCATAACTGAAATGTTTTTATAGTGCATATTCAAACTGACTTCAAAAATAAATCATTAATTGCAAAGAAAAATTCAATGTTGTTACTCATTGATTGAAACTCTTCAAAGAGTTGCTGTACATGGTGATGGCAGGAAACATATCTTGCAGCAGTCTGTATCACAGTTAATTTGAAGAAGCCTCTGACTGAAGATGTTCTGTGTCATGAAGAGGATGCTGGGGGTTGTCAAAGAACCACCCCAGGTATGTTTTGGATGACGGAATAGCATTATGAAGCGATGTAAAGCCCCTAAAAGTCAATTTTGCTTTAAATCAAATAAGTAACACGATGCTGAACGCTGACTGGATCACCCCTCATTCCCTCATCCTTTATTAAGCGATAAATGATCACCAACATGGACAATTTACTCTAAAACTAATTCTAGATCATTTTAATTTTTAGCCATTCAAATTTGGTAAATGTTAATTATGCACATTAGTTTGTAGTGTTTAGTAATAGTGACATTTTAAAGTTAACTGCTAAACCTTGGTAGCTAATTGACCATGTTGGTTCAATCAGGAGTTTATCACGTCCACCTGAAAAAATGGCGGCCTCGTGTGTTTAGCTGGCTTGTATTGTGAACGAATAATGTCGCTGTTGTAAATTTACGGCATAAAAAATAAAATAAAACCTCTAGCTAAGAAAGTTTCTGCGTGGAAACCAGAACGAGAGGTTGGATGTAGCTTTAGCTAGTTTAGCCACAGTGCTGCTAACGCCGCTAGCTAGCAGAGCTGTCGCCAGGGAAACGTCGTTACAATAAAGACTTTAGCGTTTCTTCATTAGTTTTCTTGCTTGTGTTTAGCCTCGTTTGTTTCATACGGTTGTTTGTGGCGACCTGTAAACTGATATTCATAAGATAAGGTCATTTTATTTATGTTTCATGTCATTTGTGCTTTAAAAACAATATACTTCTTCTTTTCCCCCCTCCGCGTCACTGCTCACTCGTAAATATCTAAGTCCTCTCTGCCCTTCAGACATGCAGTACCAGCATGTGACCAGTAGGGGGCTGCCTTCCCACTAGTCATCATTTACTGAGGCTTTTTAGTCACCAACCAGAGAACACAGTGATTTGCTATATGTAGTGTAAAAACGTGACATCAGCTGCCGAGGCGCACCTTCCTCAGCAACACCTCATCTTGATCCGAGCATCTCCGTTCCTCCTGGAAACAGCGCGTGGTTGGTTGTTGGCTCGTGCAGCTCCTACCCAATAGCAATTCACCTTCACTGTGTCCTGCAGAGTGAAGTCAGGAGCAGTGCAGTGCCTTTCCAGGAAACAAGGAACAGAACCGTACAAACGCCCTGAGTTTCAGTGGTTCTTGACCTTTATTTACACATACTTTCTTTTAGAAAAACTGCAAACAAGAATTACATCGGCCTCCCCCCCTCTTCTCTTTCCTTTTTGTTTTGTAGGAGCAAGAGAAGCAAATCATGCAGGCAGTGAAATCACTTCGAATCGCCTCTACATTTTCCATTCACCCAGAAGAAAACGTGTTGAGAGTCGTCTCACAAATTTATATGTATTTTTTGTTTGGATTTTAATGTTCAGCTAACAAACAAATTCAGCCAAACCTTTGCATCTCAACTACGACAAAATGAAGGCTGGCTCGGAAAGCAGTGTTTCGATACACACACAACTCACTATATTTGCAGAAGGAAATAAAACAATACCTGACATGAAAAAAGTATTGACATTTCTCGAACCTGTTCATATTTTGTCATGTCACCACAAATTTCTGTGCTTTTTTTTTTTAAACATGGTAGACCACCACAGTGTAGGACATTATTGTGAGTTGGAAAGTGTGTTCAGGATTGCTAATATTTAGACCAAAAAGTTGAACTTTTGGGTTCTTACTCAGACCAAACCACCTTCTTGAACATTGAATGTATAGATTGTGGTTACAGTAGGACAAGCAATGAAAAATACACTCAAGAGATATCAATGCTGTTGGAAAACACCATAAATATTTTTCTTTTATTCAAATAATTTAGCTAAAAAATAAAAAAAAAAACATTTAAGAAGTTTCATCCTCTGGTTCCTACAAAAGTCAAGCTGGAAATTATTTAAGAACACCGACTTTTACTTTTTATTCACTGTAGTTCCTCATGTACCCACTTATTTATATGCAGAAAGAATTTTGGCAATATGATAAATACAGTGGTTCTCTCTCTTATTGGCAAAGAAGATGGCTCTAGAACTGTACACACCCTCGTCTTGCAGGGTAGAACCCATTTTCCAGAGCACCTGCTGAAGTGCTGATAACAAAACGAGCGGCTGCTCCATCTGCAGCCACTCCCCGCTGTCTTCATTAAAATAGCACCAAGAACTCCGTCCAACATTAACACTGGCATGTAGCGACCAAGGGCTGATTCTAATGGTTGGGTTTGCTAATGCAGATGGCGGGAAAATCCCCCTACCCTAAACACAGGAGGATCACTTCCAAGGTTGGAAAACGTTGAGCAGGGATCTGCTGCATTGATAAACCTCTTCCAGAGGAAAATAATTCACAGTACTGTCACTGAAATCACAGGGGAAAATTTGGTTTAAGAAAACAAAACAAAAAAAAGGTACAAAAACCACACAATGCAGACCTTTTCACATCTTTATAAGACCTCATCCCTTCACAGGCTGATGATATTTAGCACTCGACTCGGTGCGCCGTTGGGGAAATGTGTTGGAAACGAAGCTCCGTGTATCCTCCACTTGAACGGAATAATGGGGCATTCTCTGCAGCTTCGGTTTTTTTCCTGTAAACAGGCCGTTGGCAAGAGGCGGACGGCTGGTTTGGCAAAAAATGTTGGTCTAGGTATGAAAGAGCAGAGAAAGCAGGTGGAAAACACAATTCATCTTCGGTTACGCCTATCACATGGTGATACGAGTGATTCCCTGAGACTAACATGAGTTGATGCTTTCCGGAAAAATTTACATCAACACTGTTCTTCCCGCCATCCTGATATTAATCTTTTTTTCTTTTTTTTCCTACGATGGCATATGAAGGCCATTGTACAAATGGGGGAAAGAAGGAGTACATTTCTGCGCAAAAACAAAAACATTTTTTGGAAAATAAGAAACAAAATTCCTGAGATTCAAAAGTTGAAGGTTTCCAGAAAAAAACCTCAAATTTTAGATAAATCTCAGAAATTTTCTAGGAAAAAAAAAAAAGGACATTTTTGAGTTTGAAAAGTCAAAGATTTCCAAGTTTTTTTCCTCCCTAAAATTAAGAATTAATCTCAGTTTGGCAGAAATGTACTTCTTTTTTTAACCCTATCCACAATGGCCGCAGGACGCCGTCATACCGCTGTGTGTGTCTCAGACACGTGAAATACAGTACCACACTAAATGCCTCACATTGAAAACATTGGAAGAAAATACTACATAAATACAGTTTTTCCCCTGTCGGTGCCGATGAACCCAAATTTACACTCCTCAGCTCGGCACCCAGCTCTGAGGGGAGGTCTGCTTTGTGCCGGAGAAGCTTCCCGAGTTTCTGTTGCCGTTCTGGGTGGAGGTGGAGTCAAAGCTCAGATCCAGGCAGTCTGCTTCCATCAGTTCGTTGCGGATGATTGAGTCCATGTCGTACTCCAGACTGTCGTTGAACACGTCCAGGTCCAGATCACCAGGGAAGCGCTCCTGCATCGTGGCGTTCTTGCCGGGAGACTTCAGGTGCGGCGGCTTGGCATTGGCGTGGCCGCCTCTGTCGCTGTCGGGGGTCGACAAGCCAGCTTGCCAACCAGGCACTGAAGCGCTTTGGCCCACTCCGCCGAGATTAGCCATGGTAGGGTCCTTGCGGAGTAGAATAGCGTTCCGGCGAGAGTTCTGCAGGGCGATGGCGGTGCTGGCCTGCGACATCAGGGGGTCAGACTGGGTGAGCAGGACGTTGTTGTGGCTGGGGGAGTCCAGGCTCAGCAGGTCCTGGTGATCACTAAAGTGCGAGATGGAAGTGAAGGTGGTCTGCTTGTTCTCCTGGATGGTCTGCATAGGTGACTGCCGCAGGCTTGTGATGGACGTGGGGCTGAAGAGGGGGTTCGGCCCGTAGCCTCCGGAGGGACTGCCGGCGCAGCTGAAGGTAAACACGGAGCCTCCCTGGCTGACGGCTCCGGGGTCTTCCTCTCCAGGAGGAGCCTGCTGGGTTGCAGTGAGGCTGATGTTGTCTAAAAGGTTGTCCATCAAGTTGTCCGACAGCCCGTCGTTCAGGTTCATCGTAGCAGCCAGGTCAGGGAGTCCTGTGGGTCCTGTGGACGGGGACATGCTGCTGGGACTGGAGTACAGCATGGGGGATATGGGGGAGTCATCGTCGGGGACCTCGTCCAGCTCCAGGTTGGCCAGGATCGGGGACAAGCGGCCGCTGAGTGTGCTGGCATTGGAGTTGGTCCGGGAGCGGAAGTCTGTCCAGGCGTCCAGCTCGTCGCTGCTGCGGGACGTTGGACTCCCCGTCCATTTGGAGAGGCTGGAGGAGCTCTCAGAGCTGCCGTCCTGCGCAGCTTGCAGAGAGGCTTTCTTCTTGGTGGCCCGTCCTCGGGCTCCCTTGATGTACTTGCTGTTGTCCATCGACACGGCCCGGCGACGGGGAGCTTTGCCTCCTTTACCGCCTTCCGGGTTGACTATCCACCAAGAGCTCTTCCCCGTCCCTTCATTCTGGACTTTCACAAACCGGCTATGGAGGGACAGATTGTGTCGAATGGAATTCTGAAAAAAAAACAATAAAAAGAACAAAAACAGAACAAAGAACATGGTGTGAGGTAGGTGTTAAAGATGTATCACAATATTTTGTGGCTCTGCTCTTGTCCTTTATTCGCCAATCATCTCTCACAAACCTCTAAAGTCAAACAGCTGAGATTTGTCTCCCCACAAATTAACTGCATTTACCCATTCAGTGACTCCTGATCGGAATTGGCTAGACTTTTATTTAGGAGTAGCAGAGTACAAGGGATTGAGTACAAATCCATGTCAGACTTTTAGGTGGAGAAAATGTTGAAAACCAGGCATTATTTTGCTTCCACTTAACTGCTTTGTGCAAAACTGTTGAGAATTACAGCATCCAGCTTTTCTTAACCTCAACAGCAAACTAGTTTGACAATCTTTTTTTCCCCCAATTTGTCTCACAAAATCTTCCAGCTTGATCCAACCAATTGACCCAGGAATATCGGAGTGAGAAGGAAGATGGTCAGGATAAGGAGTAGACCTATGAAGGGAAATTGTCCCATATGTCCCTTTTATGCACCATTAGAGAAAGAACATAACTCAAGATTGTTATTCCAATAAATTCCCCGTCCAGAAACTAGTGAACCTTCTGCAGAGCTGCTAAAATGATCGGAAAGGCATCAACCCAAACATGAACGCATCTGGTCATAGATCAGACGCCACGAAATGAGAGTAAACAAGCGACGCAAAGCCTTCAAAGCCGGATGTGTGGGTTTCATCTGTGTGTGTGCAAGCTGCTGCGTGGACACTGCAGTCCAACAGACTGCTCTGCACCTCTCACTCTGTCCTATTTCTGGCTGCTCGGAAAGGTCTGCAGGATTTCTCTGGAGATCTTCCCGAGCACGTACAAAATTAAACAGTCAGAGCCTGCACACCCAAGCCCAGTCACACCTCACAGAAACCAGAGACTCACAGTCCAGTCCTGAAACGATGCCATTACGATTCGATTACCACATTAAGTCACGAGTTTTATTTCTTGCTGTAGAGTGAAGGCGTGAGAGCGGCGGCGACGGAACAGGCTCGGCTCGTCTTTGTTAGGGTTGCACAGAGCTGCACGTGTGTAACAGAGGTGCAGCGCAAGGTGAGATCTTTTCCAGATGTCGCAGGATGAAAACAACTGGAAATGTGATGAAGAAATTGTATTCGCACTTCAATGATACTAGCATGGCACGGAGGGGCCGTACTTCCCATTAACCACAATGTAATCTTGCACAAAAGTAATAGAGAATTTGCTTGGAGGGGAAATGTCAGCGGCCTTGCTGCCCAGTAGACGGTGACACCCTGGTGGGTGAGCCATTTTCTCCATATCCAATTTGGTAACAGCTCAGTCTCAGGGAACCTGGAAAAATATTTTAAATAATTCAGCTGGGACTAATGCGGCCAAAACAGACGCTCAATTTCAGGTCTACAAGGATCTAATCCTACGCAAAGGACACAGTTTTTTCTTTTGCTTTGTTGTTTCAAACCAAACCATTTAACAGTCATGGAAAGGAAGCCTCGGAAGAAACATCCCGACATGCTGCCCGTTTTGTAAGTTGCAAGTTGAAAGCAGGACAAAACCACGTCCTCTGTTCGGTTTTGCTGTAATCCAGTGCAGCAGAGTGGCAGTAAATAAATGAACTTTTACAGCCAGTTTTGACAGAGGTGGAAGTGATTCAGCTCTGCGGTCTTTTTTCTAGGCTGCAATTTGTGGCGGTGCCGAATCGGACTGCATTGTGTCACAACAGGCAGATGTGCGACCACAAACAAAGGCTAAAGCACTGAATCTAAACAATTTTGCCACAGAGAAAATGGAAAGGAAAAACTTTTAAAAAGGTAGTCATTCACCAAAGAAGGGTTGGGTTTTTTCTGGATCATGTAGAGTTCGTTTATCAGTCCTGTTGGCGTTATGAAAAGAAATCAGATCAACTGATTGCAAAACATTGCGTCTATGAAAAGGGGTTAAGAACTTAAAGGATTCTTGGTATCAACTAAAAAAAAAAAAGCATGTTATAGCTAACTGGTTCTGTTCATGTTGGACGCCTTACTGAAATTAATTGTGGATTTTTCTCTCACCGCCATGATGTCACATTTTGATCGACTCATCAGAATGATGGCAGGCAGCAGGGGAGCATATTTAATCAGTATTGTTTCTTATTAAAAAAGAAGAAGAACAAGTAAAATATGCAGCTTTGTGTGGTTATATTTTGCACTCTTTTAGGAGACTCTAGTGTGCTTATTTAATTTCTAGTTCTTGAAATTAACGCAAATATTTAAAAATAAAATTTATGACTGCTTTCATTCTAAAACAAAAATTATTCCAGTATCTTAAACGATTACATTTATTATTAGCTGTTTATTCCAGTTATTATAAGGCTTCAACATGAATAAATGTCATTGAGAGTTGATTTTTTTATTTTTATTTTTTGGTGCTGCTTATTGTGGAAAATATCACTTTTACTAGCTGATAATTAATTGGGCTGCAGTACAAAGCTTTAACAGTTTTGAAACTTTTACGTTTTTCACAGTGGACTCCTGCCCATTCGCGGTTCAATAGTCACCTATTCGCGTATTTTTTTATGGAAAGTCAGTCAGTCATTTGTGGAAAATTGACTAATTTGCACTTTTTTTTGTAGATGAAATATATTTGAATAAAAATGCAGCTGAAATCCCTCGTTGCTTCACGGCTCGCATTATTTAGCCTCGGATAGGCAAACAACTACGAAGTTGAAGTTGGCTTCCAATTTGACAAATGGCTAAAGGGCAATTCCACTAGATTTTTCACTACATCAAGTATCTTTAATTTGCTCTAGTTTGAAGATGTCAATCCTTGGACTCTTTAAACATCGAACATACGAAAAGCAAAATATTTAAAACCTAGTTTGTGATTTGTGAAATCTTTGCTTAGTGAAAGGGCCACATATGTGCAATGACGTGAAACATGTGGTAAGAACGCAACATATCCTGTTATTGTAAACAAAAGCAACGCAAGTAAACAAAAGGATTGAAGCCAACACCATCTGGCTCATTCTTGCACAGCCAGACTTTTCTGTTTTCTGTTACTTCAATTAAAAAATGCTTTTCATGTCCATGTTTCACACAGAGGAAGATCACTGGTGTTGCACTGCTTCCTGCTTCCATCGCCTGTGCAAATAATCATGGACTTTTTGGTAAATAAAAGCCCAATCCAAATATGTCGACTGTTAGGAGGTTCAAAACTCGCATGACATTTTGAGAAGTCCACTTTGGTTTTGAGCCCTTCTGGACCAAGCGGTGCACTGCTTCTATAGAACCAAACAGCCAGCAGTGCCTCTGCAGACTTTCCAACGTGATATTCTGACGTTGGAGCAACAAAACCGAGAAGCCATCAGGAGTTTTCTTTTTGGATTCTAGCCGTCCGTCTGCAGCCTTCGGGCAGGCTACTCGGGTGCAAGCGGCATGTGCCAAATGGTACTTAAAAGATAAATCGCAAAAAACAGAGCAAGCACCCCCCCCTCCCACACACACACACACACACACAAAGTCACAGTAGGACGGGTTGAGAGACTGGACTGGAGCTGTGCCAGTTCGGCCAAAGAGAAACACTCAGCTGCTCTCTCACACCACTACACATTGACCTACATAATTTATAGCCAGTCCATTGATTTGCCTTGCCCAGGCCACATAAAGACAGAGGCTGGCACACAGTTGGGCGAGTAGAGAGAGACGGAGAGAGAAAGAGAGAGAGAGAGAGGGCATTTTTAGACTGGATCCAAACGATGACGAGATGTTACCACGATGTGTGTCAGGTCTGACTTTACACGATGACACATGAAGATGAGCAACCTCGGACAGATTGCCGCCGGACGCGCAGAGACAAAGCGTCTCCTAAGAAATGCTGATGTCAGCACGACTCAAACGGCCCTCAGCATTAACCCTTTCCTCGCCCCGCTGGACTCTTGCGTGGAGTCGCAGAACATGACCGACAACCGGAGCATCCCCCGAACCAGACGAGACCAATGAGTGACGACCACCCATTTGTGTTCGACCGCTTCACACGCACAGAATATTCAGAAGGCGGCTCCCTGGAAGCGGCCCGCCTTGCCTCAGTCGTGCGAGGATTACGAACCCATTTCCCTCCCCTTCGTCTAAATCCTGCAGAAAGCTCAAAGCTTTCATCCGACTTGATTCCATGTCAGATGAATTGGTTCGGTCCGGCACAAACTAATCCTGACAAATCAAGCCGTTTATTCCTCACTGGATCACTGTGCGCCCTCTTTTCTTCTTGAGGAGTTAGTGGTGTGCTACTTGAGTCACACAGACACACCACCGAGATACAATACACGCATCTACACCCGTGATGTAGTTACAATAAGTGACAGTAGATCCAGATGTTGCGCCGTGCCGCGCTTCGGCCCAACCACTGCTTTAAAGTCATGTGTTTTTGTTCATTGGCAAATTTACACTCGCATCAAAAATACAAGCCATACAAGCATGTATGGCTGATTATGGCCACAGGAGAAAGTTATTTTAAAATGCTACATAAATTCCATAAACGCCTAAAGGTGACCAGGTCTTGCTTGGGAAACAAACTTGCTCTTCATCTGCTCCCACTTGTTGCACATCTTCAGGTCACAATGAGAACTGCAGTTAGCGCTGCATGCCTGAAATAACATTCACGAAGAAGAAAACTGTATTTATGATGCAGCAATAGAGCTAAAATTAAGACTGCAAGGCTTCCATCAAAGGACTGTTGTAGGAAGCTTTATACTTTCTGATTATCACAGTGACAACTGAGAGGCAGAAAAATGATAAGTGTGTTGGCATTAGAGAGGCTAATGACTAGCATGCCTACGCGCATTTTTTTAAATGAAACATGGTTGACGTCCAGTACCTGAAAGCGACATGCGATACGGTTTATCTTTAACATTATCAGCTGAGGAAAAGTATTTATATCCATTCAGTAAAAGGCAACAGTACATTTAAGAGGTCGTGTCGAAATGAACTGAAAATACTTCGTTTGATTTGCAAAGGAAAATGTTAAAACAAATGAGGAAAAAATTTTTTTTGGAATGGATATAGCCTCCTGCGGCAAACATCTTCTTGATGTAACCACCTTAAAATTGGGCCTCTGTCTCTTTAAGAACTCCTGTTCTTTCCTTCAGGATGTCCTCACAACATGGCTCCTCTAGTAACGCTTTAACATTATAATGAACTCAGCAAATGAGTAGTTCCACCAGATGTTTGCCAATTGCCGCTGGCTAGTCTGAAGGAGCCGACTGGGGGAGGCTTGGGGAAGGAGGGGCTGCGAGGTTCAGCCCAGTGTTTTGCACAGCTGAATGGTTGCTATGATCCCTCAAACATGCATAAAAAGCAACGCTCCCAGGTATGGTTTTGACGAGGCAGCAACATTTTAACATCCAGGCTGTTTGTTGCAGCCGTATTGAGTGAAATTAAAAACTGTTGCTTCAAAAACCTGCCTGTAAGGAGGACAGACCAGAGAAACGATAATGGATGTAGTCAAATCTAGTGCCTCATGTGACGTCACTGTAGGTATGCAGGCGTGGGAGCTTGAAATAAGGAGGGTAGATTTTGTGACTTGAAACAAAAGCGAAAACGTGGCTCACCGCTGCAGCAGCAGCAGCTGTGTGCATTGTGCGTTAACATGACCACAGCGTGGTCTTTGTTGTGATGACAGCATCATCATGTGCTCACCTTCCAGCCAGCAGAGCTGTTGCTGTCGCCTTTGTCCTTGAAGTATGGCACAGACCTCACCATCCAGTCGTAGATCTGGGACAAGGTCAGCCTCTTCTCCGGGGAGCTCTCGATGGCCTGGGTGATGAGGTCTGCATAGGAGTAGTTGCCCCAGGCGTTCCTGCGGGCGGAGGACTTCCTCACCTGCTGGGAGGCCGAGCCGCAGAGAGCCGCGCCGGGGATCTGCGCGGAGGAATGGGATCCGTCCTCTTTGCGGGGGCCGCCCTGGAGCTCCACGGGCCGGGAGACGCTCGGCTCTTTCACGGAGTCGCCGTGTTTCTGCGCGGAGCCGCTCTCCGCGCTCCCGCCCTCGTCATCCTCCTCTTCGGGGATGACGTCAGCGTCGCTCGCCCCGGGCTTGCCCGCGCCGGACTCTGGACGGGGCAGCGGCCAAGTGCAGGACCGCGGCCGCTTCTGGGGCTCGAAGTCCGGGTCGATCTCCACGTTCGGCTGGTCGCTGCTGAGCGGCGCCTCCGCCATGGTGGTCGCAGTTTCTCTGTCGATGCGGAGGAGACGGCAGAATCACTCGGCTCGCATTCCATCAATGTTGAGCGCAGGCTTCTTTAGGGACTTTATTTACTATGCAACGAGGTATGCAAATTTGTCCCCCTCCCCTCTCCAACCCCCGCAGCTCGGTCCCAACACGTGTCCCGCTCGTCTACCAGCGTCGATCCGCAGCTCACAGCGCCAACTGCGCTGACCAGCGTTAACAGAACATCGCCGTTTCCTTCCGTGGCGCACAGCCGGGAGAGAAAGAAGCGACGGGGGCAGCGGGGGCCTCACGGTAAACCGAGCGGCGCTCTCTTACGCGCGTCCCGCTCTCCAGTCCCGAGCGGCGAAAGCAAACGAGCCTCCCACATCAGAGCGCCATCACCCCGCGCACAGCTGCCATCTTGACCGCCTCCCTCCTTCCCCGCCTTCACCCCACCTCAAGGTCCTAATCAGAAGCCCGCAGAGCCGCGCTGCCAGTCGCCGGAGCGGTGCGCCGCTCTCCAGATACCATCAAGGCGGAGAGGATGTGTCCCTCACGGTCCCGGGAGCCGCAGCGAAGGGAGGCGGCGAGGCTCAAGCGATCCGCCCTACGAGGCGCCGAGAAGCACTGACGCATCCCGGCTGCACGTCCCTGGCATCCTGCGCTGAAGCGGAGCGGCGCGGCCAGCAGCCCGCCGACGCTCCTCATTCGATCTGCTGCAGCTGCGGCAGGCGCAAACAGTCCAGGGGAGAAGGGGCGGAAAGACGCGATCCTGCCCCGCTGGACCCAAATTAAAGAGACAGTGTCCGCTGGCCGGTGACGTCACCCTTTAGAAAGCCTCGCGTCACTAACAAAGAAAGGCTGGAAATCATCTTGCATTAAATGCGTTGTTTCATATATAAATAATATATGTATAAATAATAATACTTATGCATAAATAAATTAAAAAATTATATGGGATTTCGTTTGTTACACAGTAGGAAAAAAAACAGCAAAAAAAAATTGGTTTATTTAGTTTGTCATAGAGAAAAGAAAATGTTTCAAAATCATATTTTCACTATAATAAACTCTATTACAAACATTTAGCTTCAAATGAAATGTTTAATTCAACTATTTAGTTCGAACTCCCTGGATTTCCTAATGTTGAGGAAAGACACAGAACTGAAATGACTGTAGCAATTTCAATAAATTACAATATTGTTTCAGCAAACTAATTCAGATAATTAAACTGTTAATGATTCTTTTATTTCCCAGTAAAAAGTGTTTGGGAAATAGGCAACTCAAGTAATTAGTGAATGATCATAATATCAATCACTTAATATTTAAAAGTGACATTATCAGGTGGACCAAAATACAAAGTTATGTGGAAAGTTTCATATTTTAAAGACCTAATTGAAATTAGGCAACATGTATATGCTTTTTTTTTTCTTTCTTTCAAATCAGTAACATTTTAACAAAAACGAGTTGGAGTGAAGTGTCTCACAGTTTATAGAGTAGGCTATCCAATAAAAGTAGCAATAATTCAAAATAGATTACTCAAAAGTAAAAAGTACAGCATAACAAAATAAACAAAAAAAAAAACTCCTAAAAGTACATTTTTTCCAAAAAAGTTACTCAAGAAATTAATTACCACACAACAGGAAGTCGCGACTGTCTCCAATAGGAGGGTAAGGCGCTGAGAGTGCTGTGTCCAAGCATTTCAATGGAAAGTGGAGGGGAAAGGTGCGATGACAAAATGTGCACAGGCAACAGGGGGTCGTTAAGGACGGCCATATTTAAGAGTTTGGAAGAGATTCACAAGGAGGTAAACTCACAGCGACATGTCCAAGATGTGGGTCACAACTGTCTCATTCTTGGTCAAACCAGTTCTGAACCAGATACCCGAGCTAGAGGGAAAACTGGCTGGGCTGCTGCCGAGTAGCTTGAAGTCCTCTTTTCAGATGAATGTACATTTTGCATATTTCGAAAACCCAGGTCACAGGTCAGAGCAGCAGAGAGGCGCAGAATCCAGATTACATGAGGTTTTCACAGATTGTGACGATTTAGGGAACTGACTTCCACTGGACGATAGCATCAGGATATCGTCCAGTGGACATATTAAATGCCCCAATTCTCATTTGGACCTCCAGAACTACTCCAAGCGTCATCACCTACATAAAAAGTCAAATGATGGCAGGTGTCTTGAGAGCCATTGGACATTTTAATGGAGTGCTTTTTTAGCAAGGTGTGGGTACAATCACACCGTCTTAAAGGTGAATTTGTTCAGAGTTGATCGTCAGCTTCAGGAGACCATGGCCTATAAACGTCAGACCGGATTAACACAATGCTGAAGCTGTTTACAACAGCAAGACACAGCAGACTGAACTTGTAGAGGACGGGTAGCTCCTTCAGTGCTTGAGGCAAGACGTTGCATAATCCTCTGTGGCGGAGTTTCTTCCTCAAAGCCGTCTGTTGAGGCAGAAGATTGGAGCAAAGTGACCAAAGAGAGCTGGCCCCCTTTTTCTGGTCACAAGAAAAAGGGGGCCATTTTCTTGGCCCTCTTTTATTTACTAGCTACATGCTTCCCCTCGCTCAGACCATCTGCCTCAAAGGTCTTGGATCTTATTGCTATGCTGACGATAGACATCTGTATCTCAATCACTTAAAAAAATGTAACATAGATAAAATCTAACATATAATTGATGTTTATTGTTGCCCTGTCTCGCCAACCTAAGATGTTTGCAACATGGCTGCTACACACATTACAATCTGACTTTATCCTCCACAAAAAAGGAAAACATTGCAGACTTTGAACATCTCTGCAGACAGGACGTCCGTCCAGGCCTTTTGTTCCAAACCATCTGGATTTACGTCAAAGTTATACAACAATAGCGTGGCTTCAGTCGGAGGCTTTCTTCAGAGCCGCTGTAAGACAGGCAGCTACAGGAGATTCTTCGTGTCCACAGCGTTTACAACTCTTTAAAATTGCTCTCTGGGGTTAATTATATTGTAGATGAACTCTGAGTTGTTCAGACCGTCAGTGAAAAACAGTGATACTGCACTCCCACAGCACGATACTGCCTCCACCATGCTTCAATGAGGAGCCCGTCCTCCCACACACACCACCCTCCTCTCTTACCGTAGCTCCAAAACAAGTTACTGTTGGCTTCTTTCACACAAAACATTTTCAAACTCTCACTCTGTTTGTAGAAGTTTTCAATTCTGGAGAAGCGCGGTCACGCCTCTCAGTTTCACCAAAGAATTTGACATTAAAGCATTTTTCATCTTTCGGATTTCCACCGCTTGTGTTGCATCTTTAGAGATGGCAACACAACACTTCACTTTAAGGACAAAACTCATGTGTTTGCACCAAACAAAAGCCGCAGCGCAGGAACTTAAATTATGGAGCGTTTTCTCACTTCCACATCCCACACGCTTGTAGCCTTTGTTTTCAGACGTGCATATGCATCTCCATTAATGTTGACGCGTTAAATGTCAACCGGTCGACGCGTCGCCTTTGAGAAGAAGAACCATTTCCAGTAAATCAAGGGTTTGTCTCAGTGCAGAGGATGAAACTCATGGAGGGATCTGAACAATCAGGATATTATTTCAATAGTGATGTCACATGAGATACATTTATAAGTGGCAATACATGAGGTGGATGATGCAGATTAGGTTGCATTTGCCCTAAAACGAGATAAAAGCGATTTGTTGTGGAGTCTTGCTCTGCATTTGTAGTGAGCAGCTGCCATGGAAAACGACTCGCCGCCTCCTTCAAAGAGCAGAATAATCGTAAAGCAGAAAGAAAACGATACATGGTTTACAACTTTTAACGCATTCTGCACCCATCTTATTTATTTGAAAGCAAACTTAGAGATGAATCTATTCAGTCCGGCGGCTTTTAGTTGAAGATTAATTCCATTTGTAATTTCATAGTTTATTATAGTTCTATTTTATTTCCTGGCCTTAGCATATTTATAAACTGCATCTTATCTAGTTTACATATCAAGTGTTTTTTGGATAATCTACGTGCTTTTCCTCTCTCTCTTTTAATTCCTCAATATTTTACCACCAGTAATTATTACCGTTTCATCTAGTTTCCTTTGATTTTATCATTTTTAATCGCGCTTGTCTGCCCCTAAGGTTTGATGCACTTTGAGTTCCATTTGAATGTAGAAATCGCGCTCAACAGACGAAACGCGATTGGTTGGTTTAATAAAAAAGGAAAAGAAAGCAGACTGGAGGCTCACTGTGTCTCTGGAGGAGCTGCAGAGATCCACAGCTCAGCACCAACCAAAGTCTCTGTGGTAAAACTTGAAAATGTTCTGGTGACCCACTTGTCGATTCCCTTCCATTTATTTTAAATGAGCTTTTAGATTGGTTATTGTTTTTATTGTCATTTTGTAGCACTTTGGGATTTACATGTAAAGTGCACTATGAATAAAATTGTATTATTATTATTATTATTATTATTCCACTCTATAAATATGTATTACTTACTGTTGGTCTAATCACACAAAATCCCCTTTAAATATATGGAAGTCTGGTTGACTTAATGCCAGGAAGGGGGATAAATAATTCATATTCACTAAAATTTTGGAAAAAAAATAATAATTTAAGTATCTCTTTGCACATAAGAAACCAAGATTTAAAGTAGTTATATTTAAATTATCTTTTCATCCATTTAGACTTATTGATTAAGATAAAGCACAACTCAGTGAGAAATCATTTCATTGAAATACTCAAAACAAAACAGATTCATAAACCTCTATGTCTATAAATCATTCATATTGCATTTTTATATCTTTTCCCCCCAAACAACAGAGAAGTTAAATACTTGAGCTATCATATGACACTGGATTAACAGCAACATGCCTCCCCAAAAATCCACCTTAAAATGATCCCAGAAGTGCAAATTTGCATCTAAATGATAAACTTATTTTAGATACTAATAAATATTGTATGTACATTTGCACAGATGCTGTTAAGTAGTCCCCTGGTGCTCCGTGCAAAGGGAGATGGAGTAGTGTAGTATTTCTTTTTGGCATATATGAGAGTTGTTCATAAAGTCTCCTGCATTCTTATTTTCCGGAAGTTTTTAAGCTTCTGTCCCCGTCCAGCCAGTAATCCTCTGTCTGCATCTCAGTGAGTCGAGAAACGGTTCTCTGGAAGGCAAACTTCTCCTCCTCCCCGCTGAAGATGGACAGACTGCGGGCTTCGTCCTGTTACGGAGGGAAAGTTCACCGAGTTAAAACGGGCGACGCTTCAAAGAAACCCGTGAATATTAGCGAAGAAAGTTTACAGTTGCGTTTAGGGCCTGAAAGCAAGTAAATTAGTGGATTTAATGCTGGTCCAGTCAGAAATGCAAAATGTTATTTTCAACTTTCAGAACATTGCAGACAGATGGAAAATGACAGAGTTACTCAATTTTACAGAATCACCAGTAAAATTGATCATAATTCATTTTATCTCCATTTTAAAAAAATGCTAAAAATGTGACAAATTAGAACATCTTACAAAAATATGCAATTATTCATCAAGAAATGTTCAGATCCGAACGCCTAATTTCAGTTTGGAAAAGGAAGAGATTTGATCGCAATTTAACCGTAAAAACTAACTTTTACTCATTAAACAGAAGTAAGAAACAAAACAGAATTTTCAAGCTGAAGAAAAGTTAGGACCCCCTGCACCATAAAAGTACTGAATAGAGTCTCATTAGAGGTCCTGCTGTAGCAAAACGTCTCCACGCCATGACACTTCCACTACCATGCTTCACAGTTCATATGAGGCTCTTTTCCTGGAATGCTGTATCTGACTTACGCCCAACGTTTTCTCTGCTCTGGTCACTAAACAATTCAGTTCTAGTCTCTTCTGTCCAGAAAACATTATTCTGGAAATATTGGTCTTTTCTATGCTCTCTCAATGTCAGTCTGGCGTTTGTGATTATTTTGGAGCGCAAATATTTCCTCCTGGCAAAAACCTGGGATGGAAATGAAACCTCTGTGATTTGATTCTGCACTTATGGAAGCTTTCACTGTGACATTTTAGGATTTTTGGGGACTTCTTTCAGCATTTTACGATCTGCATTTAGAGTAAGATTTTGTACATAAACACAAAATCAGCCATGTGACAAAATTAAAGGTAACTTTTAAGCAACACATGGGAGCTTGTTTTAAGTCAATAATCCTGTAATATTAAAAAAAACATTGCTATATGTCAAACAATGTTCCAGTGCAAATAGTACTTTTTAAATTAATAATTAAGGGAGAGTGTTGTGTATTTTCCAGGTACAAAAAACCCCCCATCTCATAGCACAATAAAGTAACTATGTTAACTTCAGTTGTTCTAAGTCAAATATGACTTAAATGAAATTTGACTTTGTAATTTAAAGCCTTGAAATTGGGACTCTATCTGTTTAAAAAAATCCTGCTCCTTTTGAAACTGCCTTCAGGAAGTTATCACAAGCTCAAAAGAGTTGATTTTCTAACTAGTTAAGAAATTATTTACTTAATACAAACCCCCATTTCCTGCTGAAACGCTACTAGTGAGTTAGTTTTGTCTTATTTCAAGTTCATTAATATTTTTCCAATAGAAACTCAACTCTTTGGATCTGCATTTCTGGTTCCTGCCATTTTTCTAAGCCCGTCTGAGTGGCGGCTGATGTTTTTGTGTCCCGACAGCACAGACTGTTCACGGAAAACAGGTTCAACAGTAAAACAGATTCCCGCTCTCACCCTTTTCAGCCCCAGGTCATCCATCAGAACGTGGCTCTCGTCGTGACTGTGATCGGCGTCGTGAACAAAAATGTCCTCCAACGGGCGTTCGGCGAGTATCACCACCCGCACCTGAGCCGAGAGAAGACTCCACGTTTGCGTCTCGCTCCACGGACCGGGAGGGCGATCGAGCGACGGCGGCGTACCTTGTGGTCGTAGAGCGCGTCCACGAGCGTTATGAGCCGCCTGGCCTGAGTTTTCTTGTTGAGCGTCAGCAGAGGAATGTGTCGGATGAAGACTGTGTCAAACAGTCTGGATATCTCCAGGTAGTCGCTGGCCCCCAGAGGCTGAAAGAGAGATTTTTGGGTTTCAAAATAATGCAGAAAAAAAAAAAACTTGCTTCATGTTAGATTCAAGCAGAGAATCAAACTCATCGTTACTCAGAAACCTTTAATAGAAAACAAATGTTGAATTTTCATAAGATAGTCACTTAAAACTGTGTTTTTCAAACTACCCTGCAAAAACATTGTCGTTTTTGTCTAGTTTCTAGAGCAAATATCTTGAAATGACACAAAACTAACTTAAAAACAACTTTTCAGCAATAAGAGGAGCTTGTTTTAAATCAATAGCTCCTTAATATTGATGAAAACATTCTTGTTCCATTGACAGATTATTTCACTTATAACAAGATATTTTCCCCAGGTTTTTAGTGAAATAACCTGACAAATTTAACCACTACTTTTTCATCTATATTAAGAAACTATTGACTTAAAACAAACTCTTATATGTTGCTGAGAAATTACTTGTTAACTAGTTTTGTCTTACTTCAAGTGTATCAAGATATTTACACTTGAAACTCATGTTTTTTTTTTTTTTTTTCAGTGTGGGGTTCTCTGTGTTCATGGACACATGACACCTGTCAGGTCAAACAATATCTACCTTAAAAATGCCAAACAAACAGACTCACTCTGTCGCACAGCTCCTCAAACGTACAGTCTGCGATCGTCCCGCACGCTTTGTTCAGACGGACCTTCCGGTTGTGAACGTTTAGAACTCGCGGCCGGGTAACTAGGCATTTTTTACAAAAAGGACAAGCGTTAGCCGGGCCCCACAGCGGCAGACGTCGGCGGGTGTCGAGTTCAGGACTCACTGTCGTTCTGTTTAAAAGCCAACTCGTCGAACATCTTGTCCAGCGTTGCCTCGGCGTCAGCTTCACCGGAGCTACACAGAATGAAAGAATTGCTAAATAAGAGAAAAGCAGCGTTCCTGCTAGGGTTTCGTCAGCCGAGCGTGACTTACAGGAAGTAAAGTTTCCCCGCAGAAGGTCTGTTCCGTTTGCGGTAGTCGATCCCGGAATCGAGGCGAAGAGTTTGGCAATATTTCTGCGGGCGGTCAAAGAGACGGTTCATCTTTAGAGGGCCGTCTGCGCACAGCTGGACGGCGGGTTCGGGATGTTTCAACTTACCTGCAACACCGCGATAAAAGGCACAAAGTTGACTCTCTGCAGGCCGTTCTTATACAAATCTGCTGGGACATAACATCATTATAAATGTTAGCCGCAGCTTTTGTGAAATATTAAATGAATTAATCAGTTTCAAACAGAAACAGACCCAAATCCTGTTCTTATCATCGAGAACAACCTGAATAGTTTCCTTCATTTTTTTTCCCATCTGAGTCCAAAAGTGTTCGCAAACTTGATGTGTTTCTTTTAATAATGTGAAAAACTCTTAAAGTTTCGGAGCTACAATGATTTGAACTTCCCTTTCTTACAAAGATTAATGAAAATATTACTCCTATAACGGTTTAATTAGAATTATTGCCTGGGTAAATGTGCCAACCTACAATTTTACTTGTAGAATATTAGAGTGACACAAGACCTGTGAGCTTTAATTTGGGTTTTTTTGGGGAGGAAAAACTTCCAATAACTTTTTAAAAAATGAATTTATTAGTTTCTTCTTGTCCAGACAAAAGCTACAAAAACAAAACCATGCAGTTTTAAGCCAATGTGCTAAAAACCTCACTAATGACCTTCGGGTGGACGGTTGGACGTCGCCACGACAACAACGCCGTTCAGAAACAGATTTTCAAACAGCTGTTTTAGGATCATGGCGTCGGCGATGTCTGTGACCTGAAATGAAAGTTAGCAATAAAAGCAATTTTTTAACAGCGTGGATAAACACGTGGGGGGTTCTGTGTCTTTAAGAAGGTCACCTACGCCACCTGGAACTCATCGAAGCAAAGCAGACAGGCCTCCTCACTGATCTCCTCGGCGACCGGAGCGATGGGGTCGTAAGACTTGGCCATTTTCCCTGCTTTCCTTTTGGGCATGCTCTGCTTCAACCGATGGATTCCTGAAACCAAGCGGCGAAAATTAGGTGTTAAAAAAGTGTAATAAAAAGGAAAAAGTTTGAGAAGTATTAACATCCCTATGTGACTTTTCCCAAAATGTACTTCTGTCTCTTAATGGAGGAGGAGCATGTCGTTTTTGTTGATGCATTCAGAGCTAATTTCTTCATCCATTATTCTGCACTGAACCAAACAAACCACTCACTTTTATGTACGTCCAACATAAAACCGTGGAAATGGACCCGCTTTTTCCTCTCTGTTTCCACGTGTGAATAAAACATGTCCATCACCATCGTCTTCCCTGTGCCTGAAACAAAAAAACATAACATAACAGTTATGATCGTATGAATAAATAAAACGCATTAGATCCAGATGATCAGGCTTCATGCTTCAGTTTTCTTACCCACGTCGCCGTAGATGTAGCAGCCTTTAGGGGGCTTTGGTTTGGAGAAAAACTGGAGAACACACACACACATATAAATCAGTAACAAGATTCTGACCAGTTTGATTTAGGAAGATTTTTCATCTTGTAAAAAAAAGTAATTGAAAGCAGTTTCATGAAGAAGCAGAGGCTACTTTCTTCTCTCTTTACCATTAGTGAAGCATTTGAAATATTTTTGTTCGATTCAAATTCAAAAATAGTTTACTGATCCCAAAAGTAAATTTAAGAAGTTCAATGAAATCCAAAGTTAAATGCAAAGTTTAAATAAACTCAATAATGACGGAGGAGTAAAACAAACAAATCCTTCAATAGGTCAGACGTTTAAAAAAAAAAAAGTGGCTCTAATCCTATTTTGTATGACAGACAATATGAGAACAAACAGCAGAGGGAAAAATCACGCAATGATAGGTACAATCCGTGAACCAGAAAACATTTCAACAAATGACACAAAAAAACACATTGCATGAACTCAAAAAGTGAACAACGTAATCAAATAGTAGTACAACTGTACAGACACCAATACAACCAATAATATAAAATGTTTTATCTAATTATGTCTTTACAATGTAACAATCAGCTGCTGCACTGTGTACAGTTACACAGAAAAGTATCCACACGCACAAACGTTTTTGGCACGTTTGGCAACCCATACCACTAACCGTTACGCTTCAGAAAACTGACGTACAACGTTTTTCTGGTTGAAGTCGTAAGAACACGCGGCTTTTTTAGCGGTCACGTTAAATTGAGGACACGCGTGTTAAGGTTTACCCTCGACAGGATGGATGCGGGTCTGTTGGTGTACCCTCTCAGCGTTTTGTGCAGCTCGTCCAGCTTCTGCAGCACCGCTCGCTGGCGCTCGTCGTCCCGCAGGCTCCCGGCTCGGATCAGCCCACCGTAGTGGTCCAAAGGACCGCTGAACCCGGCGGCGGTCACACCGCTCCCCACCTCCACCGCCGCCGCCGCCGCCTGGCCAGCTGTCACCGGGTAACCTGACAGACGTCACAGCGAAAACAAAAGAAAGGTTACGTCACTGCTGTGTTTCGCGCTTTAAAAGTCCGAGCTGTGATTATAAAGGCGAGCACATTTGAGAAGGTAGCTAATTTGACAGCTATTTCGTTGTACAAAACAGCAATTAACAAAACCAACGACAAGCTTATAGATATTTTTAATAAAATAAAGACTAATTATATTAAAACACGGAACTAATTGGTCTCACCTCGCCTATAGAGCTCTGTTAGGCGTTTTAAAACCTTCCTCGAAAAGAACTGCTCTCTAAAAACGCTCTTTATGCCCACCAAGGCTGACGGTGACATCTTCACAGAGAGCGGCACGTAGGCTGACATCTTGGTGTCAAAGGTCATCGGCGAAACTTTATTTAGCACAGCAACACCGAACAGAAGAACAGCGAGGAGTTTCTGTTAAATCCTGCAGGGGGCGACAGATATCTGACTTTGAGTTTTCTGTCGCTGTTTTTATGCGACAAAATATTTGAGCGCGTTTAGTTTTATTCAGCGGCATCAGACGTTCAAACGGAAAAGACAGGACACTATTTGTGAAAAGATTTTTTTTTTTGACAAGGATCTGTCCTTTTTCTTCTCCTTCACAAAATGGGTCTTTTAAATATGTGCTTTAGTCCAATTGAAATAATGTCTGGAAGCATTTCCAATAGTTTTTTTTTAAATTCTTTCTCAAACTGATAGTTTTGATAGATGCTTTTTGGAGGTTCTGCCACAACGTCCATCGTTGCACATTGATTGTTTTATAATGCAGTGAAGAAAAAACACTCACTGATACCATTCGGATAGCTAAAACCGCTCTGTGTTTCAAGCATGTTCATCTTTTGGTCTTCACAAAGCATCTGCAAAATGATAATAATGACATAAGTGATGCGAGTGATTACCCAATAAACCTCTGCAGCCTTCAATCCATAACAACATTGTAATTAAAAGGATAAACTATCATCTCTGCACTGAGCCAGAGTCGCTGGTAAAACATGGCAGACAAACGGCAGGGCTTACAGGCTTGTTGTCATGACAACAGAGGCCCCCCTCCTCCTCTCCCTGCATGTCTCTTTAATGCACACACACACACACACACACACACACACACACACACATATTGTCACTCGCTCACTGTCTGTCAGTGTCTGCTGTACACACACACACACACATACAGTATTACAGTGGAATCCGCCTCGCTTTCATATAGGCGCTCTGCTATTGGAGGCAGGGAGGAGAGCCAGCAGCAGCAGCAGCAGCAGCAGCACCCCGGAGCACAGGGGATACTCCACATCTCCACATCTGCTTCGGATGGTGAGTGCAGCTGACGGATCGATTCCTCGTTTGTTTACGTACCCCGTCTTTCACGCCGATCTCCTCACATTAGGATGTTTTGAGCATGAGAGCAGCCGGCTTATTGTTTCTGGTGGTATGTGCTGCTCCGGGGGAGGATAGCTGAACCACAGTCCTTATCTGTTTATTTTGTTTGTTTTTTTTTGTTGGAGTTTTTTTTTGTGTGTGTGTGTGTTTGTTTCCTTCCCTCTGTTTCGTATTCTTTTAACACCAGGGTAGACGCTGTCATCTTAATGGTAATTCATAGCTGGGTAGCCATGGTGAAGTCAATTTCACCCCCCTTCCTCCTGCTCCCTCCCTCTCTCTCTCTCTCTGGCAGTGCTGAATGCATTAGTCTAATGAGATGTCTGCAGCCTGTGTGCCGAGCAGCAGCAGCAGCAGCAGCAGCAGTGTGTTCACCAAAAGGGGAGTTGAGGAGAAAGCCGCATGCAGAAAAAAAAGAAAGAAAACAACCTAGATGGCTTTTCCTGCATTGTGAGGGATTTAGCTGCTTGCCACCTTTAGGCCTGTTGGATATAAAACAAACGCTCTCTGCTGCTGGCCTTTCACAATAGAGGACGGCAGGTAATAGTGCCTCCCCTTCCCCTATCAGGTTTATTTATGTGTTATCAGTGCAGGATGGAGGTGGTGTTCCCTTACAGGTCGTCCATGGCTTCTCTTTGTGTTGTTTAATTACGGCAGAGCTAAGTGCTTCTCCTGAGAGTGTTTTCACTGCTCAGATGTTGCTGCAATCCACGCTTCCCTTTCCAACCCAGCCCGCTTCTAATGGATGCTAATGCTGCGACTTATAGTATCCAGGATCAATGTGCAAGCAAAGTGCAGGTCTGAAAGGCTTTTTTTTCTTTTCCCCCTTCTTCTTCTTTTTTTTTTTTTTTTGGTCTGCAGCTCCAGATGAGTGTGCTTGCTGCAGCGGCACAGAAGTCAGACAGCAGCAGCAGCAGCAGCAGTAACGGTGACATGCAGTCGGCCGCAGTGGCTCCCTCCTTCATCCCCAGCCAGCCGGGAAAGATACCGGGCAGGAAGAGGGGCAGGCCCCCCCTCCGCAGCGTGGCCAAGATGGATTTCCCCAACCGGTACCCCGAGTCGCTGCCGCCGCTCAAAGTACCAAAGAAGAGGGGGAGAAAGCCGGGCTTCAAGGTCAGCCAGATGGGGAGGAAGCAGGGAATGGATGGGGCTGTGCTGGGCGGGCGATTAAAAATGGATATGAGCACAGGGAGCTGGAAACACAGGCTGGGGCGCATTTCTGATTTGGCTGATGTGTTTCTTTTTTTTTTTTTTTTTTTTTTTTTTTTAACCATAAATTAAAAGAAATTGATTGGGTCGTCAGCTGGTCAAATACTGAAAAATCTGGACTGTTCTTCCCGTTAATTGATTTGGGATATTTTTATTTAAAATTTTTTAACATATGACTGAAAAAAAAAAAAAAACCCTGCGGCCATATGATTCTTCCTATATCCAGAAACTCACAGTCCCTACACCCACCATGAGGCGTCTTATTACAGAAACAACAAATTTAATACCAGAAACTTTTTCTGGCATTTATTTTGAATATGTAAATAATAGATACGTTCCAACTTGTTACAAAATAACATAAATGTCATAATATCAAGTAGAACTTAAGGAAATACAATAACTATAGAACAACCAGACACACTATTCAGAAGGAATGAGAAGAAGCATAGCTCTCTGTACAAGATTTACTTAAATAATGTTCAACATTGGATTTTAAGAATAAGGCTTTGTGTTTTTTATTTAAAGAAAAGTGAATCAATAAATCACTCATGAAAAAAAATAATACTAATACGCATTTTATTAATGGCAAAAGAAAAGGCAATCCAGTCAGTAGACAGGGTTTAATTTTCAATCTCAGATTGACGGAAGCTCAAATAAATCTGTTAAGCTTCAAATTCAACTACTTATATTTTCCAACTCTGCGTTAAAGTCAAAGTAATTTATGATTTATGAAAATGCGTCTCTGTCGAGTTGGACAGACATTCGACAGAGCCGCGTAAAACTGTAAAGCGGGAAACAAAAAGCAGTTTCAGTTTTATTTATTCCACTTCTTTATGAGTGGCCTTGTGAGGTTCAAAAGTTCAACTTTAACAGTGACCCGGTCGTACAAACAATATTATGCAACATAATAAAGTGGCAGATTTAAAAATAAAAAAGCAGATTTAGAAATGCAAACACAGCATGATGTCCACTGGTTGCTGTGTTGAAAAGCACAGAGTTGAAGTGAGTCTGAACTGTGAACGTTTTAAAGCTCAGTTCATGTTGGCTGCAGGAAGTTGTTCCATAGAACTGGAAAAGGATAATCAGCCACTTTTTAAATTTAGTTTACCGTATTTTCCGGACTATAGAGTGCACTGTACTATAAACCGCACCTACATTTTATTTTTAAAGAAAAACTGAAAACGTACATATATGACCCGCAGCGGGCTATACACCGCTGGTATCTCCACCGCTCTCTGTTTTCTGCAGCAGACAGCTGCGTCCTAATAAACCTGCTGGATTTCCAATTTTGATTTCCAATGATTCACTTCCTGCTAAAGAACTCCCCCCTGGAGGTGGGAGAAAAATCCACAGAAGCCGCATGGTTCAAAGCGTGGGAAAAAAAGCAGCGGCTTATAGTCCAAAAAATACGGTAATTCTTGGAACCTTTGAAAATATTTGCTGCTCAAATTTAAATGACATGAAAGCACAGAAATGATCTGACGAGAAATTTTAGTGAAGCTTTTGAAACCCCAGTACACCTTGTTAGTGGGACCACTGTATAAAACGTAGCATCTGAGAGACTTTATTTTATTTTTTTTGCTGCAGACACATTATTGTTCCCACTTTAAAGGAGAAAGTCTCAAAAAGGCTCTCTGCATGATTAAAAAACATTCTGAAACTTTTTCTTTTGCAGCTCAAACCGCGGATGGTGATGACCCCTCTGGCTATTTCTCCACCCAGCAGCACGCCCGAGCCCGACATGAGCTCCATCCCTCAGGACGCTGCCACCATCCCCCACTCTGCCACAGCCCAGGTGCTAACAGGTAAAAAGAAGCAAAAAGACAGCGCCTTACAGAAGTTTACATACAAATAGAAGTTTTTCCTGTTTTAAAACCTTATAACCACAAACCTTAATGTTTTCAGTTGGATTTTACTTGGCTGACCAGATGAAATCTGGAAATATCTATCACGAAATAAGTAAAAAAAGTGTCTTTTTAAGGTGCAAACAAGTTATCGACTTACGATTAATTGTTGATTCATTTTAGTTTCATACTATCTGATAAAGTCCGCTTGCCTTCTTTTAGTGCTGTAGTTTGGCTGCAATCCAGAAGAGAGCGCTGCTGGTCATCCTTAACCAGAGCCAGCTGATACAGAAACAAAGATGAAGTACCATACCAGACATGGCAAAGAGAAAGCAGAGTCCACTATGGGATGCAAAATTAACTTTATGTGGTTCTGTTCTGAAATATAAACACTCAACAAGCTCTTTAAGTTTCATGATATACATGTTTTTTTAAATCTGCCTTTGTGATATGGAAAGTCAGTCAACTCTCTTCATATAAGAGAAATCTTCAGTCTTTAAGAAATGGCCGCTTCTCAGTCATTCGTTAGCCGAATTTAGATCAACTCATGAATTGATGACTTGCATCCCTAAGATCATTTCTTTTCCAGGGTTCCCTTCATACCCGACCTCAAGAGATTTAAAAAGAAAAAAACAAACAAAAAAAAAACACCCAAACTTGTCAGAAAAACCCAAACCCAGGTGCCATCTCTCCTTTGTTTCAGTTTGCATCTACATCAACAAGCAGGCCAACACGGGCCCCAACCTGGACAGGAAGAAGATCCAGCAGCTTCCCGATCACTTTGGACCCGACCGGCCGTCCGTAGTGCTGCAGCAGGCCGTCCAGGGCTGCATCGACAGCGCCTTCCAGCAAAAAACCGTGTTCACCCTCCTCACGCAAGGCTACGGAGGAGAAAAAATATCAGGTGCTGTACCAAGACCTCGACCAGGTGTTGTTCTCTGCTTGTTTACTTAACTTTTTTTATTTTTTTGCACTTAAATTGAGATTGGGTTGAGAGGAGACAAAACCCCCACAACCCCTTAGTAGAAGTTTAATAATCCAATTTGTGAGAAATAAAGTGTAAACTAGTGTCGTTTTGCGCTTCCAGCCACATTTGATGGGAAGCAGCATCTTTTGAGCCTCCCTGTGGTGAACAGCATCGACTATGTGCTTCGTTTCCTCAAGAAGCTCTGTCGCAGCCTGCACTGTGAAAACCTCTTCAGCGATCAGCCCATTAGCCAGCGCGGCGGTGGATCCTATCACTCAGACGGTATCGCTTTAGCCTCCAAGAGTCAGACACACCAAACTTGCTCTGATTCTGTCTTGACGTGGCTCTGTCTTGGCACCAGCTGAGACGTCTGTGGCCGACGACTATCACGGAGACCAGTCGGAAGGCAAGCGCTACTCCGTCGACCACGGCGACTCCGCCTTCGGCTCCATAAGCTCGTCCTACTCCTCCAAGTCCTCCTACGGGTTCCGCTCTTCGCAGCAGTTCTCCGGCGGCTCGGGCTCCATGAGCATGTGCAGGCAGCCGGCCTCCAGCCCCGGCATGTTCCCGGACGGCAACAGGACGGGTGAGAGGCGGCCCCGACACACAATACAAACCCGTCCCGGTGTTGACCTTTGTTCCGCCGACAGGAGTTAAAAACTCCTCGCTCTGTTCTCTCAGGAGGATACGGTGTGTCTCCAGAATCCCAGGAGTCCAAAGCCCCGGCCAATAAGGACCCGACCACGTGGTCTGTGGAGGATGTTGTCTGGTTCGTCAGAGACGCAGATCCCCAGGCTCTGGGTCCCCATGCAGACGTCTTCAGGAAGCACGTGAGTCGGATGTGTGTGCCGCGACATGACCTGTTAGGTGTGTGACTTCCTCCTCCTCCAACCAAAATGTAAAAGAAAAAGAAGACTATTGGCCGATACCGATGTTAGTGCCGATATATCATGCATCCGATTGTGATATATTTTGTTCTTTCAAATTGTAAAGTAGCTTCTTGATTGCGAAAATCAGTTTGCTCAGTTAATTTTGATACATTTATGCCTGATTGGACGTTTGATTCATAACTATTAAGCATCCATCATTAATTCCTGACTGATATTTTATTATATTTTAAACCTCACTGATTCCTCCTTCTCCTCCTCTTCCTCCAGGAGATTGACGGAAACGCCTTGCTGCTCCTGAAGAGCGACATGATCATGAAGTACCTCGGACTGAAGCTCGGTCCGGCCCTGAAGCTGTGCTACCACATCGACAAACTAAAGCAGACCAAGTTCTGAAAACTGTGCCAAACCCAATGTCCGGTAGAACGTTCTAGAGGGGTTCGGTTCTCTGGCCGGCCGGTCTGTGATCCGACGGGAAAGAGAAAGTCTCCGTGTGATTTAGGATCCTTCTAATGCTTTACATTTTCAGCCTTTTAGAAACATTTCAGCATGAGTTTCACCTTTGGTTCAGCATGAAATGGTCCTAACTGGATCGTGAAAGGGCATTTCAGTGGACGAAAACCTAAAGGAAGTCACTCATTTATGTTCGAGAGGCTAAAAATCTAAAAACGTCTGCTGTTAGGGGGGAAATTTGACTTGAGTTTTATTTAACCAACAGAGCCAATCGAAGCAGTCGGACAGCCAAAGAATCTGATCCGACGCTTGTAGACGACCGATGAGATTCCCAGAGGCTCACAGACCAGAAGACTCTTTTTGAACCGGTTTGCCAATAATTTCATGATGTCACACGCGATTATCACAGATTCGCCTGCGTTCACAGATCTTGATGTACAGTTCCAGTCAGAAGTAACTCCTCTTTATTATGGACGCCACAATAAAATATCTCCCTTCTGATATATTTAACTAGAGACTCGTGAGGGCGTGTGTATGTAAATATTTGAGTCTTATTAGAGAAAATCCACTACAAATCCAAAGTTGTGAACCTAATTCCTCTTTTATTTTGTTCCACTTTTTTCTATCATGGGAACAAATTGAAAAAAAAAAAAAGAAATTAAATGATAGTAAAATCATTAAATGCTCAGAATGATGTCATTCTGATTTCATGTTCATGGGTGGATGTAAATTTCTGACCAGAACTGTACACTCTTGGTTCTGAAAAACATCTTTTACACATGTAGCCTAAAAAGTCCCCCCCAAAAAAGTTTTTTTTTGTTTTTTTTTTCACAACAATCATAAATCATCGACCAAACATGCTGTCACCTCGTCTACTTAGCAGGCTCAATGCATATCCGTACCAGTACTGACCAGCGGTGCATTTAAAGCAGCGTTGACTCACAGGTTTAGAAAATCACTTTGATACTATTTTTTCACATTGCCGTATTAGTAATGGATTTGTCATTCTTTGTTTTTGTATGACTTGAATATTTAAACAGTATAGCAAAGCAAAAAATAACGAAGAATATAAAGAAGATGACGGCATAGTCTGTGTGATATATTTATATCTTAGATTGTTATCTCCGCTTCATACACTGACGTTTTATTGTTTTTCTATTTTTTTATTATTTAAACGTTAGTGTCGATAGAGAGAGTTGCCAAAACCCCCCGACCGTTGTTGTAAATGCATTTATTATTTAGTATTGCTTTTGTACGCATTCTTTTCTAAACGACTAACCTTTGTAAGTGAACGCTGCCGTGAGACTCTGCAGGTGGAGCGAGTCCAGTGAGATCAGACGGAGGCGTTTTACTTTGAAAATCACAGCGAGTTTTTAGGAGAGTCCGCCGAGGCTCTGCTGGTGCTACACTTGATCTACGTGTTTAACTGTTTGCTTTTGTGTTCGTGAGATCTCCAGAGGATCTTCTGACTGTGCTGTGCTGTATGTGAGCATTAAAACTCAACCGAGAGTCCCAAAGCGCTTGTGTGAACTCACTTCTTCTCGCCGTTTCGAAGAGGGCACTTCATTTTTTTGGGATGCTGCAACTGACGATCATTTTAGTAATCGATTTTTATTTTATTTTTTGGACGATTAATCGGTTTTTAAAAATTTGCGCATCCTGCAGATTTTTTTAGTCGACCACATAAGCTCATTTTATACAACATTGGAAGCACATAAAACATACGAATAGTTCAATTTCCTTTTTAAATGAGAGGATGAACATTTTATTGCCTGCAATGCAGCAGCAGAGCATTCCTTCAGCGAAGGCTCGATCGTAAGTCGATCAATTACATTGACAATAGTCGAGCAGCAAGAGTTTTTTTTACAGAATTTGCACCAGGTGAAGCTAAAACTGTGTAACTTTTGGAGTTCTGCGTAGAACAAAGATTTTTTATTTTTATCTTAAATACAAAATGTATAAATTCCACGTACAGCTTTGGCTTTATTACTGCGCTGAATGCGACGTTCTTTCAGCAAATGAATTTTTTATGCGTCTGCATTCTCCAGCTAACCATTAATCGATTACTAAATTAATTGACAATTATTTCAACAAACGATTAATCACAAGTGATCGTTCCAGTCCCACTGCAAGGAGTCAGGCTTGTGTTTGGCTCTGAGAGCAGTTTTCGCCTCATCTGTTCTGGAGACACACTCAGAGATGGACGAAGGTGACCTGTTTCCTGGAGCTCTGAATGTCGTCCAGGGACCGTCTGCGGTTCCTCGTGGGGTTCTCACGGGTCCCGATTAATCAGGAACAGGTTCACCTGTCAGCTACACCTACAGCAGAGTAACATATTTAAAACAGACCGCATTCCATCCAATCATGTAGTAGCATTACAGGCAGGCGGTTTACTAAGGGGCTGATTTCAAACTGTGTTTTCTTTAGGGATAACATAGTAAGAGGGGAGGTGAAGACACAAAATTCAGATTTATACCTCTAAAAAAAAACGGTGAAAACTAAAACCACGTCGGTGTCGGTCTCTCCAACCTCGATAGAACACACAAACAAATAAGATCAAACATTACTTTCGATCAGAGTTGTGAATCGTTTTCTATTAACTGTTTCTCCGTCGTCGGCGTCTTTCAGCCAGCGGCAGCAACAGGTGGGGACGGGGGAGCACCGCAGAACCCCCCACTTGATATCACTCTGGCACTTCAACAAAAGGACTTTATGTTCTAGAAAAAGAGTAATCAAGAGCAAAACTCACGGCTGTTTAAAAACGTCTAAAACGTGATGTCAGAATTGGGCCTGTGTCCAATTATTATTATTATAGTTTATTGTATAAGAAATGTTTCATCAAAACAGATGGAGCATTTCTGTTTTGATGGAATGCTGTTTTTGCCATACAACAGAAGAGGAGATGCACAAATAATCTTAGTAATCTAATCATGCACCGAGAAAAACAATAAAAACCCCTTAATGTTCACATCACGGCCAGGATAAAGAGAGTAAAATCTAATATGAAGGCGTTTCCTGGCTCCACTTTTATACACCAACGAATTAAGTGAGCAGAATTTGGTTTTGAAAACATGAATTTTTGTCGCAGCGAGAAGCTTCAGACGACGGAAAGCGGTACGACATCCGACCTGCACGAAAGTCTGGATTTCCATTTACACTCGCCTCTCTGAGTTTGCAGCAAAGTCCGCAGGAAGCCAGAACCAGTGAACAGAACACCGCTGACGCCGAATCCACATGTGGAAATGAGACCTGTGAACTTTGACCTCTTGGACAGATTTTATTTTCACCATTTCTGAAAGAAAAAACAAAAAGAAGAGATCTTCTAAGGTAGAAGATGAACAAAGAGATGGATTTTTGAGGCATATAGGGTTAACATGTCTGACAGTGAATCTAATTTTGCATGTGAAAACTCAAACTTATTGATACTTTAGATTTCTTTTTAATAAGAGGATTTAATATGATAGTTCAGAGGAGCTGGGATTTCCAGAATCATGAGCAAACATATGAGAAGAGCTTCATGTTGCTTTCTTTATTACTCACACCATCTCTGGGGAAGCTGTAGAGATGCAGAACTCATTTTTGTTTTGGACCAAATAAAGACCCTGAATGCTCTTCAAGGGCCGGTTGTGCCAGAATTTGTTTTTGAAAACCTGTTCACAAACTGCTAAATATCAATTTATTCTTAAAATCAATATTATTGAACAACTTTCCAGTGATACTTGTGATTTTTTTTTTTTTGTAATAAAAATCAAAGTGTTTGTGGATCTAATTTGGAAATATTTGCGCTCATTTATGACGATAAATGCGACATTTTATTATCAGTTTTTGACAATTTGGGGGGAAAGCCTGCAATATACTCCCAATTTTGTTTTAGCACAAACGTATTGTTGATTTTGTGTGAATTTCTCAAGAAACTGGAAGAACTGGCTGATATAATTTGGCAGGAAACAGATTAAAAACTGCACTGATTTGACTGATGACACCATATTTAAGCACACTTAGAGGGCCACATGAAAATCTATGGTAGGTCAGATTTGGCCCACAGGCCTGGAGTTCGACACATGTGCCCTAAATGCACATGTGTCAGTGACAATAAATTCCAGTCATATTAAACCCTCCATATTGTGGAGATTGAGAATTTAGTATTTGTTCAATAAGAGCATCAGTATATTCATCCATTAAAACCCCCCCAAAAAAACATGATTAAATGTGAACCATTTAGTTAGACAAACCGTTCTTTATGTGAAAAGCATAAACAGTTCGCATCGTCACTTTTATCGTTCTCACAAAATATCGTGATAAAACCTCCGTTTCATATCGCCAAACCGTGCACGAGTTTCCGGTTATTGTTTTGTTTCTGGATATTCTTTATCTTCCATCGAGAAATATGTTGTACCTTTTATTAATTAAATTTATACATAAGCTTTTCATTGTTGTTCCTACTGATCCCCTACTCTGTTTCTAAACAATTCCTCTCTGCTCCAAAACTCCCCGATTGAGTTGCAGCCAAAACCAAACATTCAACTTCACGGACAAACGAGCCGCAGTCGGTCCAAATTAATTTGGCAGATGCTTTATTGATGAGCAGCTCACCTGGCCCCTCAGCCTGCTTAATAATAACCCCCTCCGTCCACGGCGGGGGCAAAGGCTGCGGCTGCAACGCGACAGCAGCCAGCTGGAGCCACACGGAGCGGCAGCGCACAGGCGAACTCCTCATCCCACCGGGCTGTGATGCGCACGGGGTGACGCCGCGCTCCTCCAGTCCGCACGCAGACAGACAGACAGACAGGCGCAGACTCGGCGCGGGATCGGAGCCTGCTGCGCCTCATCTGAGGAAGAACTGCGTCCGGGGGCAAAAAAAAAAAAAAAAAAAGAAACAAAATCGCGCAAAAAACAAAAACAAAAGAAAACGCGCCTCTCCGTACCGTGTGCGAGTGAGAGAAAGAGAGCGATAGCGCGTGCGCGCGCGCGCGTGTGTGTGTGCTCGCGCTCTGTATTTTCTTTTTTTTACTTTTTAAAAAATTTTTTTATAGGCGATCGTTGTTGAGAATAATCGGCTTTTTTAGGTGAACGTTTCCACGGGACCAACAGAGGGGGGGTTCTGGACTTTGCAGAGGAAACGAGCCGCTTCAGTCCCGACAGGCAACCAGCACAGAGGCTTTGATCAGGTAAGAGCGCGGATGGCTGCATGCGTGCGTGGCGCGTTGGGCTTTTTTTTTTTTTTTTTTTTTTTTTTTCTAATTCTTCTTACATGCAGCCGTCATGGTGTGTGTGTTTTCGCGCGCGCGTGTTCGTGTTGTTTCTGTGTGAGCGCGTGATGTTACATGGGGATGGAGGAGCTCTGAGGCTCCTGCGCATCCATGAAAAATAAAACCTCTGCGCTCCGCCTGCAGCCGGAGACCCGGACGGAGGCGAAACGAGAAAAATGTCGGGCGGTTTGGAGACAAGCTGATTGGCCTTTCAACGCCTGCAGCGGAGGCTGCGAGGGAGATGTGTTGGCATACGACGAAATGTGTATTAGATTGTTACAAAAAAAAAAACAACAACAACAAAAAGGTGTGTCAGATTATTTTTCATGTCTGTGGCTTGGATGCGCTCGGAACATGTGATGGAGGGGATCTGGTGGGAAAACGCTCTCACTGCGTCGTTTCCATCGGAATGCAGCAGCATCTCCACCTCCTCCTCCATCCCACTCCCTCCTCTCCGCTCACACAGGAGGCTCTAATACCATTAACTCATTTGTTATTGCCCAAAGCGCCATAGGGGGAATACGGCATCTCCTGGCACCCAGTCTGCCAGAAAAAACAAAAACAAAAACGCGCCGTTCCCAGCAGAGGCGTGATCAGTAATGATTTTTTTTCTCTCTCTCTCTTTTGCTTTGTTTTAATACTCTGATGATGCAAAGAGGGAACGAAAACGCCGGAGCATGTCAACCTCCTGATCCAAACTGTTTGTCCTCAAGGTCATTCACAGCAGCCCGGTTCAAACCGCACATCCGCGGAGATGCGAGTGGCCACCAATGCGGGTTGGGGCGTTTTGAGGCTGAGCGTCAAAACGCGGGGCTTTGCACTGATTTTTTTTTTTTTTTGGCTGCGGCGCACATTAGTGCTGCTGCTGCTGCTTGTTCTGCAGGCCCGAGTCAACGCAGTGCAGAGTGTGGTGGAGCTGCTGCTGCAGAGATGTGGACCAGCATTAATCCATACTCCTCCAACTTGTCTAGGGTGACATAAAGTGAGGGGAGAAATAGCCGATAAAAGTGGCAGGAGATGGAAGCATGGCTCCAGGATATTTAGAAGTAAAAATCTGAGAAGTGTGGCGTGCATTTGTAGTATTTTGTCTTTCTTTAGAACATAATACACATGCAATAACATCATAGATCAGTATGAATAGGCAGACCTTTAAAGAGCAAGAGGAAGAAGCAAAATTAACTTTAAACCAATGATCTTTTTTTTTTTTTTATCTTTATTCAATTAATAAAAATTAGCTTGGTTAAGAGCAATTGGGCTGAGCTCAAGAAAATGTTCGAACAGCATCGTGACAGCAGAAGTCGAAATTAAAGGTAGTATTTTGAGAAAGCAAAGTTCTGATAAATAATTGGCTGAATTAGAAATGAACAACCTTTTTTGAAAACTGACTCTTAAATAACTAGTCACAGCCGTCACAGCTTTGATTTAGACTTCCATCTCACACAAGATGGCACCTTAAAACTGAAGAAACCACCATTTTGGGAATCTCTTCACAGTCCCACAAAATTCCTAGCAGCATTTAATGTGAAGAAACGAAAGGACGGCTTTGTGGGAGGGGTCGGAAAATGGAAACACTGCCAAAACGTTTCCCTACCCGAATCGTGAACCTCTGCAGCTCCTCCATAGCAACCAGGCCGCCTGCTTGTTTGGGTTGTGAGTTCAGGTCAGTCTTTGACGACCCGTGTCCCTGTCCCCAACGACCAGAATAAAATGGCTGAATTACAACCAAAGGAAGCAGTCAAGTTATAATACGCTCTGCTTCTCACTTCACAGCTTGATTTGGACGTTTCGAAGCAGAGATGCATCTAAAAGCTTGCGTCATTAAAAAGAGTGTGCATTTATCGGATCGTTTTATCAATTAGTGTGATGAATTTCTTCTAATGATAAGAAATTTGATTTATTATTGTCACAATAAATTCCAATTAATAGTGTTCAAAGCCCCCCCCCAAAAAAACTGTCTTTATTGTCAGGATTGATGGTTTTATTATTTTCTCCACTGTTTGTTCAATCAGAGTGTCAATGAACAAATACATTTGAAAATACAGTGAATCACTCCTTTATGTGACCGGTGTCCCCCCCAAAAAACAAAAACGCATTACACTTAAATGTTTTTTAATTGTGTTTATGGGACTGTAATTGCTGTTAGTCATACACCTAAAGAAGATGTAATAAATAGTTCTTATCATTACTTTTATTGTAATGTGATAGTTGCACCAAATATTGTGATAAAACCTTAAGTCCACACCCTTAAACAATATTTTATGTTGGTTTAATACATAAAAATCCCAGTGAAAGACATTGAAGCTGTGACATGACAAAAAAAAGGCAAATGCACGCCCTCGCTGGACGTTCCCCTCTCTGACCCCTGCGTCCCCAGGCCTGAGCAACATCCGTTTGTCTCATTAGTTTAATTATGCATCTGCCTATTCTTGGCCGTCTTATGTCATTTGCCACATCATGAGTGAATAATTCATGAACGTGGGGCTCCAGAGAGGCAGCTGCAGTTGCCGTAGCTGCTGCTAGTGCTGAGTGCCTTCATCATGCGGTTAACAAACTAATCCGGAGCTGACGGCACACCGGACTGTCTGCAGCTGGTTTTAAGCACAGCGGTACTCACAGACCACTCAGTCATAAGCCATACTCCCCACTGATCCAGATTACAGCCGGCCCTGCTGCGTGCTCCTGCGTCCCCCCACCTCCACCGCCGTCCCCGCGCTGCGTGGACTCACTGCAGCTGGGTCTCCGTCGCACGCGAGCGGAGGCTTCGTTGCGATCGTCATCGGCGTGGGGACGGTGTTCGCAGTGGAAACTTGATAGCGGCGATCGAACGTTTTGGTGAACTGGATCTGCTTCGACGGTGACAATCCAGGTCACAGCTGACTGGGGGCCCGGGGCCTGGCACCGGCAGGGGCCACGGAAATAGAACGCGGGGCATCACGGAACGATCCGTGCTTCTGTCCGAGGAGAGGATCGAATCAATTTGTAGTTTGTATGACTCAAAGCTGAACAAGAGCTTTTCTTTTAGAGCTCATTATTAGGCATAAATACATAAATGAGTAGCACCGCGTTCACCCTGTGCCGCATTACTCACAAACTGCAACGGATTTGATTTCATTGGTCTAGACCAGAAAGCAGTGCACAACTTAAGTGGATTGACAGAAAGTCTGAGAAATGTGCCGTGCATTTGAATTACCTTCTCTTCCTTGACTCCGCTACCCTTAAATCAAATTTACTGCAACAAATTACTTTAAGAAATCACTCAGTACATAAAATCCTTTTGTGTGTAATTTGATCTGACTGTAAATCCAGCTAGATAAAGTGAACTCCAAACTCTGAGCCTTGTGTGGGAAAATCCGTTGACATACGACGTCCTATTTAAAGCTTTCCACAAGCCATGGAGGGAACAGATGGAAGAAGGCGCTCTGAAATGCCTGGTCCAAGAGCACTGGGTCGGGCAATGAAGTTTTTTTGTACGCCACGTTTCAGCAACAGATAAGTTCGAAGTGCTTTCCGCCACAAAAAAACGCATAACAGAGAAACTGAGAAACAAGCAATAAGCATTACATTCTGTCAAAAGAAATAATCAAAATCATCAAGCGAATGCACATGAAATATGTCAATTGTTGTTCCAGGCACCTAACCCCCAGCTGTTTAGGCAACTCTAAACAGGTGGGGGTTTACCCTTGATTTAACACAACTCTGTGTTTCAGCAGTTTTAAAGTTTTCTGAAAGTTTGTTCCACGTTAGTGGAGCATAAAAAAAACGAATCCTGCTTCTCTATATTTGGTTCTGGTTCTGGAGAAGTGGGGCAGACCAGAACCAGAAGACCTGAGTGGTCCGGAAGGTTGATGCAATGAAAAAAACAATCTTGCTGGGGGAGGAAGTCAACATTTTCTGAATGCAAGACAACCAAACACCAGCTGTCCGATGAACCAGATGAGACCAGGACTTAACGTCAGCCTCAGGGCACCGACTCAGGCAGTGCTAGCATGGGAAGATGGATGTGGCCGGAGCAGGTATCTTAAACTCCAGTCATCGATGGCCCTGCAACCTTTACATACCAATATTCTTCAACACGTGCAACTCAAATATACAAGCCACTGACAGAAAGCAGCACTTTGGACCAGAGATGGATCTGAAAGTCGTAGGACACTTGCCCTCAAAGGCTGGTGTTTGAAATAAAGGGTTCCAGTCTCAGATCTTGGTAAAGGAAATCATTATTCTAGCCTAATCCTAGACACAAATTCAACTGAGAGTCTGTTGCAATGATCGAAACATTTTGCAGACGCTCTGAGCTTGAGGTATTTTGCTTTGAAGAATGTGCAAGATTTCCAGTCTCTAGATGTGCAAATCTGATAGAGACACACCCTAAGAAACAGGTAACGAGTGCATCTGCATAAGATACACCACTTTGCTTTGGTCTATAAAAATGTCGATGGACACATTGAAGTTTGTGATTCAAGTTCAAGCGGCGTGGCTGCTTTTGCAAAGCACCATAGTGCATGACTTTAACTACAGTTCAGTGTTTTAGCAGCAGGTTAATTTGTGTTTGATGTTCTGTTGCTGTTTGTCTGAGAGTGTCTGTCAAGGTTCAGAGTCCTGTTCCCCTCACCGTCCTCTGCAGGGCGTTCTTGTCTGCCTTGTTGCAGCAGGAGTACCACTACAAAAACAGCAGAAACGCAATGGCAACACTCAACCCTGACATTATGTTCTTTTACAACAGGAATCATGGGAAAGCAAAACAGCAAGCTGACTCCCGAGGTGATGGAGGATCTGGTGAAGAACACTGAGTTTAATGAACACGAGCTGAAACAGTGGTACAAAGGCTTCCTGAAAGATTGCCCCAGCGGCCGGCTGAATCTGGATGAGTTCCAGCAGCTCTACGTCAAGGTTTGTGCGACCCGCCTCGCCCTCTCACTTTCTCTCACCATAGTCCACGCCGGCCAACTCACGACACGCCTCTGTTTTCGAACGCGCGCAGTTCTTCCCGTACGGCGACGCGTCAAAATTTGCACAACACGCCTTCAGGACCTTCGACAAAAACGGAGACGGCACCATCGACTTCCGAGAGTTCATCTGCGCCCTGTCCATCACCTCCCGCGGCAGCTTCGAGCAGAAACTCAACTGGGCCTTCAACATGTACGACCTGGATGGCGACGGCAAAATCACCAGAGTGGAGATGCTGGAGATAATCGAGGTGAGGGATTATCGAGTCATTAAGCCTTTACCCATCAGGGGACTAGGTGCGTTTTTGTCCATCCGTCTGTAGCATACCTGCAGAGCAGCAACAGCACACACACACACACACACACGCATACACGCAGCGCCTCGTTGTGGCAAAGCTTGAGGTGTATTGGATATCTTGATGCTATTTCAGGGAACACAATCTATAAGATGAATCTGATCTGTGTTGGTGATATTGGAGAGTATTGACAAATCCAGCTGGGATAAATATAGTGTTTTATTCCAGTCATATCAGATGCACCATGCGTTTTCGCAAGCTAAATTTAGCATTTAGTCTGCTGCTTTCATTCAGTTGTTCATATTTCTGCAAGTCTGTTTCCTCATCAGCTCGGCTCTTATGTGATTTATGTTTGGCAGAACTCCACTGATTATTTGCGGATACAAACATGTGAACCAGCGGTTTGAAGAAAACCAGGCAGCAGAACCAGATCGGTACCAGAACGCAGCGATTTACAAAACATGTTCTGATCAAAATGTAAAGACAAAGAGAGTACGGGAACCTGGAAAAAGAAAGAACAAACCAGAAAGTCAAACGCGTTGATTTAATAGAAATTACAACAAAATTTGGAAGTTATATTTACCAGTTGATTATGGGAAAAACAGCAAAGTGGAGTCTCCTCTGACCAAACCCTACATGTTTGTGTTTGTGATGAAAATAACACTCATAAATTAAGCGTTCAGTGTGGCTCTTTGGCAGACATGTCAAGTTAACGTCAAACTTTTCATCTCTTCCCGTCGTCATTGGGTCGTCAAACTATTTTTGTTCCGAAACTATTGAAAACATAAACTCCCCCTGCTGTGTGTCGCGGATGGCGACTGGACAGACTGTGTGGAGGAACCGCGCAGCTTTACGGTACACTCCTGTCGCCATGGAAACACGGGTTCGATGAGTGTGCGACGATGAAACAAGTCCGGGTTGTAAGAGTCACAGACTTTACTCTAGTTCCACTTGCGATAAAAAAAAAGACGGGACGTTTTTGCGCTTGAGTTAGCACGGTGTTAGCATCCAATGCTAATCACCAAGTCTTTTGTCCAGCGGGTAAAACTTTTATAAATATCCGTGTCGCACGCTTTTCATTCCCCAAGGAAGCAGGAAGTCACAATTTAGAAGGTCCGATAAATTCTGATTAACTTTTAAAAGTCAAGCATAAATTTCAGAAAGCTTATGCCACGTTTAAATTTCAGTACTAACTAACATTTGATGCAGCTACGATAAAAGCTTATTTTATTTCAAGGCTTCTTGTTCACAGAAAAGTGAGTAAACACGACAGAGACGAGCGAAAGACTCGTGAACTTCAAGTCGACAGAGTTTTTAAGGCTCTGAACCCGATCGGGATTTAAGGAACATTTTATTAAAAAATTTTTTTATAATAATAACAGTTACTCTGGTCCCACGGTTACGTCACAAACTGCACACGTTCCGTTAGGCCGTGTTAGGCCTAACAAAAGCTCATCGGCTAACGTTCACCCTCTCTCTCACGCGCAGGCGATCTACAAAATGGTGGGCACCGTGATCATGATGAAGATGAACGAGGACGGCCTGACACCGGAGCAGAGGGTGGACAAGATCTTCAGCAAAATGGATAAGAACAACGACGACCAGATCTCGCTGGAGGAGTTCAAGGAGGCGGCGAAGAGCGACCCGTCCATCGTTCTCCTGCTGCAGTGTGACATGCAGAAGTGAAGCCGCATCCCTGCACCCCACCCGACACCACGACCCCCGACCCCCTCCCACTTCCTGCTTGCGCCCCCCCACCCCCCACACACACACCCCACCCAGTCTGTATCCACACACTCTGGACAGCCGCACACGGTTTAATGTCTCATTAGGTTCTTTGCCATTTCCACAGGGGGAAGAATAAAACAGAAGAAGTAGAAAAAAAGAAAAAAAAAAAGAAAAACCACCAGTAATAACTTAAAAGAGAAAAAAAACAACAACAAAATGCTTGGACTATTTTTCAATGGACTCGCTTCTTGTGGTCGTATGCATGAGAAATGTCAAAATGCAGAATCATTTTGAAAAATAGCTATAAGATATATCACAGATTTCTATTTCTGAACATGCCAGCGTGATTTGTGCACAGTAACCCTGTACATCCTCACCTCTAGCTTGTATATCAGTGGAGCACTTGCATTCAGTTCTGTTTCTGCAGTATCTAGGAACCCACCCCTCTTTACCCACCCCAGTGTTCACCGCTGCAACTACTGTATGCTTTACTTGATAGTAACAAAAAACAATAATTCCTATGATAATTGTAACTGTCTCTACTATCCAGACTTGTTGAGCTCTCGGAGAATAGAAAACGGCTCCCGTCTGTTCCAGATGTTCTCACTCAGTGGAACCGAGAAGAGTAGGTTCTTTGCATGCATATATTACGTGTCGAGAAAAAACAAACAAAAAAACTATATAATCTCTTACCTTTTTTTTTGCATCTTTAGGTGCCTATAAAAAGACATAAAATGGAAAATTCATTTAGTATTGTTGCATGGGCTGTACAGTGTGTGACGCACCCTGTCATTAGTTCACCCCCTGCCCTCCACCCACTAACGTGGGAGCATCCCCACCCCTCCTCCCCTCCCATTCGATTCAGCATTGGTGTGAGATACTTGAGTTGTCGGAAAGGCGTTCGGGCCAGTGGCGCCCCAAATAGGGGGGACACAAGAGTCGTGGCCCCCTCTTGAAAAATCCTGGCCTCCCCAGAGAATCATATTCATGTTACAGAAAAGTGTAAAGCGTCACCCGCTTTAATGAAAACATCAATGAACAACCCTATAAATAAACAAATATAAAGTAGTTATATAACATATAGTAAATATTACATATAATTGGGTTTTATTTTATTTTATTTTTAGCAAAATGGCCTCCTAAAATTTTTATTGGCCTGGTCTGGCCAACCTTATGAAATAATCTGCGGGGTGCCACTGGTTCGGGCTGCAGCTGTGGATCGGAGAGCTTTGACGTCGGCACGCTGCGCCGTGTTTTGGCTTCAGCTGCTTGTACGATGAGCAGAAATCTACTCGTGCGTGTGTGGACATAAATTTTTTTTTTTCGTTCCCTTTCTTTTGATCACGTCGTACTGCTGCCCTTTTAGAGAAAAGGTCAGAATCCCCGCCATCATCAGGCGCAGCACTCCAATAATTGGCTTCTTCTTCTCTTCTCTCTCTTTTTTTTTTTTTTTTCAGGCTGCTTGTTTTGATTTAAACTTGAAGAAATACTAATAATGACAACAGCGATGAAAAAAAGGGTAACTTTAACTTACATATCAACATGTTTACAGAAACAAAGAGCACTGCGAAACGAGTACGTTCTTGGCTTTTGGGTCCGCTGCTTGGGGCTCGCTCTCAAGGCTTAGGGAACCTGTGAGGGTGACTCCACTTCCAACGCAGCCAAAACAACGACAATGACGATAACAATAATGACAAAGCCTCATCTATGTTTACTGGACACACTGCATTCCTTTGTGTGAAACATTTTTGTAAGGAGAAACTTTTTATTGAAAGGTGTCACCTTCCTGTTTACCTGTTTGCAGCGATCATTAAAGATGCGGGAACCTCAAAGAGGCGTTCGGTGGCGTTTCTTACACTGTGAGACGGTCGCGTTTGGTTACTGCCGAAATGTTTCTCTTTCCGACAGTTTGCACCTCTTCCGTCCACTCCCCCTCCACCCCTCTCCTCTCCTCTCATGTTAGGCTATGCAAGCATGGACTGGGAGTCTGCTTGTTGTCCACTTGCACAAGTGGAAGTTGCAGAAGAAGCTTTTCATTGTTTTTGTTTTTTTTATTTTGTCTGGAACATAAATGAAGCCAACCCCCCGCCCACATCTTCAGTGACTGGATTATTTCTATATTTTAGTCCAGATTTATCCCCCACCACCTCCTTATTTTTGTCGAGTAAATGTTTCTATCAGATATGAAAACTCATTATAACAACTAACTGTATTCTTTTATACATGTGGCATGTGTTGCACCCAAACTCGGTTCTGTAGTGTTTGAAACAAATAAACCATCGACAGGCTTTTTGGAAAGACACAGGCTGGTAGGTGGAGTTACTGGGTCTGCACTGAAAATCCAAACTAAAATGATAAACAAAAAAACATTAAGGCTGTGGATCGTTTTAGCCCACCAACTGCAAGGAGAATGGTAATTTACGATATCTGCATTTACATTCTGACTAGTAAGAATAATAATTCAAGATATTTTCAATTACATTTTGACGAGTCAAAATTCCTTTCAAATCATGACACTGGATCCATCATTTGACGGAACACATATCCGTAATTACAATTCAAGATATCTTGAACGTAATTATGACTAGTCAAAACGACTATTTTAGGTATCTGAATTAAGAATTGCCCCTTTCTACAGTTGCTTGCAGAATTTAATGTTTCCTACACAAAACTGTCAGTAAAGGCCACAACGTAGAAAGAGCTCTGCAATGTTGGATATGCGGAGAACGCAAAACTTCAACTGCAAGACTGCTTCTTCAAATCTGCAAAGAATTTCCTGTCCATTCATTTCTCTAATTTATTTAGAGATATCTTAAAAGGAATTTTGACTGGTCAAAACTAAAATTGAGATATCTTAAATTTACTTTATGAGTAGTCATAATTTGACTGAAGATATCCGAAATGTGTATTTATTGAAAATATAAATTATAGGTCTCACAATTGCTTCCAGTTTGTAACGAGTTATCATTGCTGCTCTTTGTGTTTAATCCAGTAGAGGTTTAGCTGGATTAAAATCTGAATGGTATACATCTTGGCATGTGATTAATAAAGTGGTGAGGTTTTTAGATCTTACATGGACGTACTAAAGAAAATATATAATTTAGCCCTACAATTTGTTATAGACTTTGGTCATTAAGTCTAAACTGGACAATTAAACAATTTAAGGATAGATGCTAAAATGTAGAATTTAAAGACTTTCCTAAGTGAAGCAAGAAAAATATTTACCAGGAAGTTCCATTAATTAGCTAAAATAAGCATGTTATACCTGATTTTTTAGGTAACTATTTAGCTAAAGTCAGTGTACTGTTGAACCACAGAAAAAACCCAACAACAACAAAAAGCACCATTTCCCACAACAGTCACTTGAAAACTACATAATTTAATGGGTGTTTAAGTCAGCAGCAGTAGGAACAATAGTTGCTATTCTATATGCAGATAAACCATTTAGTTCATGTCATACATTCATGTTACACATTTCTGTGTGAAAAAGACAACATGGGAATGCAGTATTGATGCAAAGTTAAGACATAGTTAGAGTCTCGTGCCGGCCCGTCCTGAATCAAGACCACCAGCTTTTCCTCACGCGGCGGCAGCCCAAGCGAGAAATCAGAGAACAGAAACAAACAAGTGAATAGCAAAAGCAGAAGGTAAGTAAAATCCACCATTTTTAGTCAACAGTGAGTGGACTCAGCTAGAACACAGTATGTGAGGCGCATCTATAGAAAATGAGGCGGGACATAATACATAAAGACAGACTTCAAAATATACAGGAGAAAAGACGACAAACCAAACATAATGATGCCTTCCAAGTACATCATCCCCACATCATTGTTCATAAAGCTTTTACAATGCAAAATTCTGCAAAACGTGTACACAAACTGCAACACTAAGGTCACTTAAGTTCTTTGCTTTTCTCAGAAAAAAAAAGAGGTTTCTTAAATAAACATTTAAACACACAGGTTGAAACCCTTCTTCTTAGGTAAATGACTCCTTAAAAACACTTTTCTCAAACATACAGGGAAACATCATCAGTAATAGAGTACTGCCAGTGAGAGTTATGAGTCTAGGTTTCCATCTAACTCTTCACCTATACACAAAGAATAGAAAAATAAATCTTAACCCCCAGATATTTATACTCAACTTATTTAAGTTTCATAAAAACGATACTTTTCAGCAAACACCAGGAGATGTAATGACGGGGTTTCAAAGTTTTAGCACCTTCCGCGGCACACAGACCAGCGGTGCTTTACCACCGTTTTATGTATAAAAAGCACAGCTGGTGTGTGTCACAGATCTTTGTCTCTTGATTGGCTGTCTTCCCGCTCAGGATCCCGCAGATGATGAATTTTGATGAGAGGCGTTTTGGGGAGGTTGCTGAAAGAGAACCAACAGTTTTAACTGGTTGCCGAGCATTACTGTGACAGCACTGTCGTCACACCAATGAAGCTTGATGGTGTAAACAAGGGAAGGTTTGCAGGGGGGAAAAAACTGTTTAAACTACCTTGCTGCTGGACACAAATCATTATTTCCTCTCCGGATACGTAAATGGCGTAGTTCAAGTAGCCAAGTTTTATTTTTTGACTTTTACATCTGATTTACGAGGACAGAAAAAAAAAAGGAGCTTTCAACATAGAAATCCACCCTCAGTTTATTTCTAACATAAACAGATTCATATTTCTAACATCCGTGCTTTTTAAAATATCTCACGTGTTAAATACAGTTTAAATGAATGGTGGACGGCGTCAAATGCTTCTAAACTTGGTGATGTTTGAAACCTTAATACTTCCAGACAGAAACACCATATAAAGCTCAGAGGGTTGACGAGGCTTTTGGCTGTTTGCAATATCTTTTTCCGTTCTCATACAATGACTGTTGAAAAATTGGGATTTTTGGGTTCAGACACAAACCTAAACACCCATTAAGCCACTCCACAGGGAGATAAAATACACTTAACAAGATTTACAGTCAGTATTTTTTTTTTCACAAGCTCTCAGGCCTTTTTTTTAGAGCAATTGGAAGTGAACTTCTATAAATCTCAAAAACAAATTATTCAGCAACTGGTTCTGCGGGTTTCACCAACTCAATTACTGAAGCCACGATGAGTGAAATTTAGGATCTATATCTCAAAAGAAATGTACAAACTCCATCCAGCCAATTTGCAATAAATTGGCTCTGACCCGTAATAGAGGCAAACCAGCTGGCTAGCTAGCAAGGGTATGTTAGCAGTGAGTCACAGTCTGAGTCTGACTCAAACGTTTCCCTGACAGAGAAAATCCCGCAAGAAAAAAATAAATGCATAGAAAACACACAATCAAACAGACAAGACTTGTGATTAACGTACTTAAGGCCACCTTACTTTTTTTTTTTCAAAGTTATTTCAAGATATTCCAAGGCCTTAATTTTGGAGCTTGGACACCCTGGTATATGTGAAATAAGGCGTCACCTGGTGTTCAGGGGAGTAATGAAGATGAACTGCCGAAGGTGCTGGCGCTCTGAAAGCTCCAGGAGGAGGTCCAGACAGATCCTCCTGTTGTGCATGTCCTGCAGAAAAACAGTTTTCAATTCAGCCGGGCGTTCGTGTCTTTCTCCCCCGCCCCTCCCCTTCCAAAAACATGCACACAAGTCAGTGCTTTTCCAAATGCTTTTCGTGCGCTCACCATGTAGACGTCGAACTCGTCGAGACATCTGAACGGCGATTCTGTGATCTCCCAAAGGGAGAGCATGAAGCAAACGGTGGAGAAGGAGCGCTCCCCACCAGACAGAGACCTCATGTCGCTCGCCCCGTCTTTGTCCCTGCCTGGAGGCTTTACCTTTGGAGCAAAACAGAATTAATTACTCAAATTATACGTACTCTTTTTTTGTTTTTTCTTGAGATTTCTGAGACCTAAAGGTAACACACTCCTCGTCTTGGACGTGTGAATTATCCTCGAACATCAGTTTGTTACTTTAATACAATCATGAAAGCAGGCGTCTTTTTGTTTTGTTTAACTTGGTTTTTTGTGTAGCATTTCATTTCAATTAAAATACTCTCAGACGAGATCACAAAGTCTCACAAAGCTTCTACAGCAAATACCTTTGTACACTCGAAGTTGGACAAAACTGACACACAAGTAACTTTTCAGCAAGAAATAGGAGTTTATTTTAGGTCAACAATTAATATGGATGCAAACGTACTAGCTCCACTGGCAGATTACTTCACTTATGATATGGGAAAAAATGCCTTGTTATAAGTGAAATCATCTGGATGTGGAACTTCGGCTTTTTTGGATCCCTGGATGTGCAAAACCAAGCCGAAGCGGCACTGCGTACGGTGAGTAGCGCAGATAAAGACGTACCGAAATTGAAAGCGTCTCGTTGTTGTGATCAAAGATCATGGCGCCGCAACAGTTCATCTTGATCAAGAAGTTATTGAAGTAGAGCTTGCACCTCACTGAGAGGGATCTGCGGGAGGAGAGGACATTGTTGTTCTGTCATATGAAACCCCAGGAGAATACAGCAGCGTCACACTGTGCTTGCCCCGTTCCTGATTTCATATGACTTAATTGCGTAAACCTAATTGCGTGCTCGTCATACAGAACATCAAACCAATTGAAATATTAGTCACATGCTGAAAACATGGAGCGGTGATGAACATGAGAGGCCAAAATCACTTCCACAGCGGAGCGACGACTCATCCAGGGACGCCACAACGTCTGGAGAACTTCAGGTCTCATTTTCCTCTGCTAAGGTCAGAGGTCATGCCCCAACCACAAGAAAAATGGCCAAGACTGAATCACTGGTGTACAAAAATAAAACTCGCCTCAGTTTTCCCTTTTAGGCTTTTAGGAAAACTTCCTGCGGATGGACGAGAGCCAAAAGTTGAACTCTCGAGAAGGTGTTTCCTCTGTTACACCTGGTGTGAGAGCGACACAGCGTCTCAGAACAAGAACTTCACACCATCAGTGAAACACGGTGGTGGCAGTGTGATGGGTCTGTTTTGGTACACTTGATACCAGTTGTTGCTTCTCAGGGTGACCCCCACCCACTTATCATTAGATTTAGGGGCGATCACTTACAAGGCCATGTATGTTTAGATGTTTTTTCCTCCCTTAATATTAAAACACCTTTACGTAAAAAGTGTTTTCTGTGTTTACTTGTGTTGGCTTCGACTCCTATGTCGATTGGTTTGATGCTCTGAAACACTTTAAAACAGGAAATCGTGAAGGGGGCGAACACTTTTTTACACCACAGTGAAACGGCAGTGAGATGACAGTGAAAACACATCTGAAATGGCGACGGCTGCTTCTCTACCTGCGCATTATT